ACCGAATAGCGAACGCGCACGACCACCAAGAAATGTTATGGATTGGTAGCAACCTCTTCAGTTCGAGTGGCAAGAAAACGCGCGAGTGAGCTCTCAATTTCTTTCCCCGCACCTTGCATCCGATAGCCTGAGTACAGCCGCCCCCTTCCCTCAGCCCCTTCTACGATCTTTTCTGAGGGGAGGGGGCGGCTGTACACAGGCTATGCTCCAGCGTCTCCTTTCGCCTTTAAATGGAGAGCTTGTTCGCAGGCTGTTACGCTTTTCATTGTTGTGAGAGACGATTGCATCGCATCGCCATTATAATGGCTCAGTCGATTCCAAGTGTACCCATACCCCCAAAAGCATTTGCCAAGTGCTAACATCCATGTGGTCCTCCAAATCTAAGGAAGAACGGATAAAATTGATCAAACTCTCGTCGGTAACCAAACCCGTCAACTCCAATCACCTTAACGAGATTTATCTCCAATTATTGGAAGAAATCGCTCTGTCTCTACGTAAAAACAACCCTCTTCCAAACTAAAAAGTATTCCTGTGTTGTGAAGATTAAATAATCAGCATGTCACGAGCGTGGGACAAAGAAAAATCTGAGTCCCAGACAGGATTCGTACCTATGACCTCCCAAACACCAGGCGGGCGCTCTATCCACTAAGCTACGGAGAACTCATGGAGAGCGAGGCCATATACTAGGGTTCATATTTGACACGCGTCCTGCGTACTGCTAGGATCAGCCCGCCCTGTGTTTGGGATGTCATAGGTTCGAATCCTGTCGGGGACTCAGATTTTTTCTTTGTCCCACGCTCTTGACATGCTGATTATTTAACATAACATAACATAACATAACATACATGTTTATTCAAACTCATATATAACTACGTAAATTCGAAAGGGAGAGTCTAGAGGTTAACCCTATGAATAAAACTCTCCTAAAAATAACAAACAAACAATAAAAATTACAACTTTAAAAAGGATTTGAGTTTACATTTAAAAAGTTCAAGGGTACCGGCTTCAACAACATTACTAGGTAAATTGTTCCAATAACTAATTACATTGCTACATTGTTACATTGTTATTTCTTCACCGAGGTCAAAATTTACCATCTCTCATTCTATCCCTGTTGAAAAGTTGCGGTTGCCTACTTCTTTTTGGCCTTCGGAACGACGCGACGGTAAATTCGTTCTACATTGCATGTACACGATGTAAACAACAATAACGACAAAAACTTCAAAGCCTTTCCTTGGTACTTTCAGAAGACCACAAATGATCGATCTCTGACTTTTTTGCTACGAAGCAAGCTAACCAACGCTTGTAGCCGTTGTGCCAAACCAGAGGTCAACATAGCGGCAACCAAGTACTTGCTCCTTTTAAACCATTTTATCAATCATTTTCAATTGAACCAAGCGATTATTTTTGTCCCTTTTCTTTCATTTCCCGCACGAAACTCAATAGTGCACGATATTATAGCTAATTTTCACATGACAAACGGCAACATTAGGTCGCAGTGGCGCAATGGGCTAAGGAAGTATGCAAAACATGGACCACCCCTGCATGTGGACCAGGTCCATGGACCCCTTCGTGGACCCGGTCCATGGACTACCGCTGTGGAACACCCCTAATTTTTGAAGATGATTTTTTTCCAGAGGGCTAAACACATTTTAGGAACCTTAAGTAGTGGTCAGTTTTACCATTGTAATGGGTTCGTTTTAGTCTCGTGAAGGAGTAACCATATTTGAAGGGAAAATGAGGAGTGGTAGGGAAGAAGTAGTCTCCTACGCAGCTCTTTTTTTGTAAGCAACTTAACGTATATTTACGCTACGTACGTATAATTCGAAATGTATATTTACGTTATCAGATAATGGTTCGTAACGTATAGGTTTGCATGCATCTTGTCAACAACGTACGAATATTGATGCGAAAATATGATTTAGGTCGGTTTTATAATACCCATATTCTTATCTTGACACCAATAAATATGGTTTAATACGAATATTTGAGTTCTTCTTCATATTTACTTATAAATCTTTCTGTCATAAGCGGCATTCCATAAGGATATGTTGAACCTAGCATTAAAAATTTGTAAATTCATACATGTATTAGTTTAATTGATGCGCAAAGAACACGTATTTCCACTGAGCTTATTTCCTTATCGTAAAGCCTTTAGTTATGTTTAATTGTTACATGAAGATCGAATTTTGTCAACATGGATTTTTGATAAAGGGTTAGGGTCACGTAGGTGTCTTTTATAAATGAGTTTTGTTTTGGATCACGTGGTTTGTGGTGGTGAAGGATAGTGTGTAACGCACAAAAGAACCAGGTTTTTTTGCCTCTGTTGTTTGAAATAACTTTACAGGAAGTTGAGAACCGTACTGCGCATGAAATATCTTGAGCTTATCAGCGATTTTCTGTTGTACTGATAACAGGCACCGTTTTTGACTGTGGTGATGGAGTGAGCCATACAGTACCAGTCTACGAGGGCTACTGGCTCCCTCACGCCACTCAGAGAATGGACCTAGCCGGAAGGGACCTCACCTGGTACATGATGAGGATCCTCAAAGAACAGGGCTACTCTTTTACGACGACAGCAGAGATGGAGATCATACGGGATATCAAGGAGAAGCTAGCCTATGTTGCACTTGATTTTGAGCAGGAATTGCAAGAATCTGAGACCAGCAACAAGTTCGAGGAGTTATATATGGTGGGTGCGATAATGTCTGAAAGAGATGTGGGAGGGGAGGAGGGAGGGGAAAGGATGATTCGCGGCAAAATATTTACCGACGTAAAGGAACATTCACGCGACACGCAACATGTTGAACGCGAAGTCAGCGTAGTACTACTAATGTGAGACAGAGTACGCTTTCGCTTTTCCTTTCCTTTTCGCTTTGATTAAACGATTGTCACGACAGGCTGTCTTTGAAATCCCGAAAAGAAACAAGTTTTGATCAAAATATGTAAGCATTTGTTTCATGTGAAATGCAGCAGGTTTTGAAGCGGAGCAAAAGGAACAGTTGTCATCGGATTAACTTTAACCGACATGGGAATAACTGGCCCCTCGTTTTCACGACCTTAGTGAATTACTGTTCTTGGTAACTAGGTTTCGTCAGTGTAGTTTACAGAAGATTACACCAGAATGGCTTCTGTTAAAACTAGGTTTACTGTGGTATTATTTACTAAGGCCTTCCTACTTCTCGCATCTCTGTTATATTAAATTAGTCACGCATACGTGGCGGCCAAGTTCACAAAAACAGATCTTAACTACAACTCAAACGATTATACTGCGCTTGTTTCTTCTTTTCCAGCTCCCAGACGGCCAGTCTATACGCTTAGCAAGCGAGCGGTTTCGATGTCCAGAAGTACTGTTCAATCCCAGCATGCTTGGTAGGGACATTGTTGGAATTCACGAGTCTATCTTCAAATGTATCACTAAATGTGACGTGGACATCAGAAAGGAATTGCTTGAGAACATTTTGTTATCAGGTGAGATAGGTCATTCTTTGAGTACTAACACTGCTTATGAATTGCCAGCCAGTAATACTTAATGAACCCTTGCTTCCATCTGAATCATATCAGGGAGAGAGAGGTTGGGAAGTCTTACGTCGGTTGTCTTATTAACTGTAGGGCGACCCCAGGAGTTGGAGGTACTCCTTATAATGGCCAATACGGGGAGGCTCCGCCCTAAAGGAGTAGAGATTTCGTTGGTTGAATCATATGAAAGGGTAGGGTGTGTCTAAAAGGGTTAACAAGATGCTACGCTCGCTCCGCAGAAACTATTGAATGGGACCTCTATCATAGCTTCAGCCGACTTTCTTTACTCTCGGTGCGTGCAGTGACGGTGAAAGTGACAGAAAAAGAAAAACAGCTTGGCTTTCAGATGAAGGACACATTTTTAATACCACTCAATAGTCTGTCAAGTGTCCTGTTACTAGGGCGGACAATACGCTGCTATAGAAGCTCTGGCAAGTCTCATTTCTTCCCTTTTTCAGTAAAGCAGCTAGTAATAGTGCCTTTCAAATTTGACTTTTGCAGGCGGCAGTACCATGTTACCTGGGCTAGAACAAAGACTTCATAAGGGGATTTTTACGCTAGTCAATCCACGTGACCCAGGACGCGTCAAGGTCATAAGCCCGGATGACCGGAAGTACGCCGTGTGGAAAGGCAGTGCCGTGCTTGCTGGACTGTCGACTTTCCCTCAGATGTGCATTTCAGTTCAAGAGTATGATGAGATGGGTCCAGACATTGTTCATAGAAAATGTTTTTAATGTAATTAGGCCTCATGGCATTTTTACCCTGCGTCGCAGACATAATCTTACCCCGGCTAGTGACGTCTGTGAAGCAGCCCTGAGATCCTTGTTTCGCACCCTCAATGAACTCAACGAATTACCGGATCTTTTTGGCTTGTACGTTTTGTTCTCCCAATTCAAACCACGTGACGTTCTCAAGGGAATTTGTATTTTGTCGTTTCGTAAGTTATACGTGCATAAGCACGTGAATAAGACGACATTTGAAAGAAACAGTTCTCTGGGGTAACATCACATTGCCCGAGATGGGAAAAACAAAACATATAAGCTTAAAAGGTCTATTTTTTATTAAGACTGATTGGCCAATCAAAGAGTGGCTTTATTAACAGGCCATTCATGGCGCATTATGATAGCTGGTGACCTAGACCAAGGTTTCCTACGCTGTTTCGCAGATGGACGTAACCCAGAGGTTTAGTTTCGTCTGTCACGCAGTCTAGTCATGTTACACTCGCGAATGTCTTTTAATAATCCTCTTTCTCGAGGCTTTCTAGTGTACGCCCTCGCCTCCTCGATTGGTATTTAACGCCTAACGTTCTATGAGACAAAATCTCGACTCAGTCGTCTACTCGGCTCTACGAGACAAGCAGCCGTAAGATAATTGAGCATTTTTCGTTTTCTTTTCTCGTGATTTTCTTGCGAGTTTAAAAATACGAACAAACAACGAACAGCAACAAACAGCAGCAACTTGTGCCACAGGTGAATCAAGGGAGCATTGACCAGGGAAGGACAGGGTTGTAAAAATTTTTCGCCGTTGTTTAGTTCTCTTTTATGAGCGAAGAGATATTTAAATGCGAACTTGCTACTGTATTCATGATAAAAATGCATTTCGCTGTAACGTTATAATGTATCATTTTATATATTTTGGGTCTCTAAAGGTAAAGATGTTTTCGAAAAAATTTTCAGCTTCCTAATGTTGGATATTTAAGCTTTTTATAAAATGCATTTGTAGCCCGATGTGTTGTCGAGACAAAGCTAAGTGATTTGCAAAAGCTAAGCATTTTTAACAAGTAATTTTAAAACATTTTGTACTCAGGTAAGATGTAACTTACTACCGTTTTTGTTCAAGTTGGTTGCAACTTTCGACATTTTGTCCGTATAAGGCCTCCAAAGTAAATTTTCTACTTTCTTATTCGATCTAAATCAAATGACGAAAAAATAATTCTAGAGATAACTCATACCAAAAGAGAGCAGAAAGAAGAAGAAGAAGAAGAAGAAGAAGAAGAAGAAGAAGAAGAAGAAGAAGAAGAAGAAGAAGAAGAAGAAGAAGAAGAAGAAAAAAAACAAATATATTAGAGCTACAACAGATGCAATTCAGAATTTATACAGCTTTACCCGTTTCGTACTTTACAGAATAACTGCGCGCTTTCCTGTAAAGATTCTTGATGGTAACATTCAAGTAGGTGTTATCACAAGCGGCTTTTCTTAGAATATATATACGCGTCATTCATGAAACATAACACGAACAGGAAGCAGAATAAACGCGCATTAATTTTATTAAATGGACAAACATTGCAGTAAGAGGCCGATGGTTATATTTTTTGTTTGGGTGGTGCTGAGTATTTCCGGGCACAAGTAATGGTAGCCCGAAAGAATTTAACAGAGATCTGAAAATCCTGTCTGATGCGACAACGCACCAAATCTATGATCATATTTTCTCAAGCCACTTTCACACTGCCCACCCCCCTCCCCCCCTACTAAATCCACAACCCACCACACACGCACACACCCTCAAAAAAGGGCAGAAACACATTCTAAACACATATCCGGAAGTCATTCGGGAGAAATTGAAAGCATTCGGTATGCCAGGTGTATCATGGGAAATGTGAGACTATGAGCTGTCACGCTCTTAAATGATGAAGATTACGATCATCAATCCCAATCTCTGCATCAATCCGCAGCAACGTAAAAGGGGATAAATTTGTTTAAAGTGCTTATTTTTGCAAACGCTGACTCTTGTACTTAGTCTTCCTCGTCCTTCTTGCGTAGTCAGCAAATAGACTCGTGCGCAGCCTGAACAAATTGATATCCGTTAAGAAAGGTAAACTTCTTCACATTCAGTTAGACAATAAACATTTTTCATATTTTCACTTCCATTTGTAAGCCTTGAACAAAAGAACAGGTACTGAATTGCAATTATCATCAATGTCCTCCTTGGGCTGTTTGAAAGAGAGTTGATATTGTTCAGCAATTAGAAAATGCTGTTTTCAAATTACGGCGATTTTCAAACAGAAAACAGGACAAGATTATCAGCTAAACTGAGACAAGATCGGTTTGTTCGTCGACTTATTGGAATGCTAGGACTTCAAAGAAAGCTAAAGACGATTCTCCTGGTTTTACTAGTCATCTACTTATCCATTAACATTTATTATACTTCGCGTACCATTATTCAAAACGAAGCTCAAATAGCTATGTTAAAGAAAGTGCTCAACAAACCGCTATGCGTGGCACATGAGAAAATTGTTCAAAGACTTCGACGATTAACGAAAGACCTCAATTACGTGCGGATGTCCGTGGATCGTGATGTAGCCATGGCAAGAATCATCGACGACCATTCCGATAATCTACGAAAACTTCTCCGAGAAGTTGAGTTGATTACGAGATCGAACTTGGACGATGATAGGCTTAAACGGCTCAGCGGAGACGAGCCGAAAGCATCAACAATTGTCTGCCCGGAACATTATAGAGGATCAATGTTTGGTTATCCGTTTTATAGACAAGGCTTTGAAATGGAAGACTGTTCCCTAAGAAAAGACTTAAAAATGCACGTGACATTAATTTTTGATGACTTATTGGTGACAAAGTTAACGGGTCATTTAGCCTTGCAAACTAACCAATCAGGTGAAAACAGCCACTTCAATTGGTTTCTTGAATTTTTTGATAGCGTACATCGTTTATATCCCGGAGTCAGAACGCATTTTATTTTAGGGAAGAACTGGAACCAACGCTCCTTTGAAGCGATAAACAATAGGGCGACTGCCAAATTATACAAAAAAGCTTCATTTTATTCTTTAAGAGAGAATGTGTTCAGTAAAGCAGAACTTCTTCAGAACATAATAGATGGAGTAAACACAGAGTATGTTTTAATTGTACCTCATGTAACCCACTTCACAGAAGATGTGAACCTTGAAAGGCTCCTAAGAGTTCTTTCAACTCGTGGAAAAACCTTTTTTGCTGGTGGCAGCTATAGAAATTTAACGGGTCACTGGTCAAATGGTTGTCTTCAAACGCAGCTCAAAAATTATACCTTGACTTACAGGTCCGGCTATTATCACTCTATTGACGAGTGTTTGGTTTGCGACCACCTGTCGGGTCCATTTCTCGCAAAAACTTCTGCACTTAGAGATATTGGCTTTAAGCTTAATAGTGGACACGGAACTTACCGAGATTTATTTTTGAGAGTAAAGGATCGATATAGCAGATCTCATCAGGGTGCGACCGGTTATGGTATTCAAGCTACAGTAGTGAGTTGCCCGGATGTTATGTTTCATGTGAAGAATCCTTACGTGGACGATGAGGAACTGGTCGACTTTGCAAACAAGCATGAAATTAAAAAGATAGTCGAAGAAGACGGCAGAAACAGGTGGTTCGGTTGTCGAAGGGGAATAAAACATCGTAATGGTGAAAAGTGTCCGATAAAGTCGGGGCTTGCTGTTCCGCCATGTTGTCTGGAGAACTTAGCTGAGGCAATTATATTTATCATGTCCCAATGTCGCGAGAACAATGCATCATGCGAACTTCAAGAAGGGACTTTATTAGGTGCTGTTAAGCTAAACAAAGTGTTACCTTGGGAAAGAGATGCTGATATAACGTTTCTAACGGCGGATTTTCCGAAGCTTGTCAAGCTACAAGACGTGTTTATCAAACAGGGATATTTAATTACTACTATCAGTAAGTATAATAACTCAAGAGTGTTGTTGGCAAGTCTTAAGAGGCGTATTAAATCTTATTAATCAAACAGAGATTGTCGCACAGATGGGTAGAGATGGGTAGTCTAACAGCGACTATAGTCTTCTGATTGTTCGAGTAGAAGTCTACAGTTAAAACTACTGTAATTTTTTCGTTCCTAGAGCAACCATGGTGTTGCGTGGAAGACAGTTTAGCCGGAGGAAAAATCGAGTTGCTTGCGGACGGTTGGTCCATTCAGATGTATGGTCAGCACAGGATGAGCCCGAAAGGAACCAACACCAATGGGCTCCAGCCAACAAAGATCCATTTCAGCAACAGCTGGCTCAATGCACCTTTCAATCCAGGCCTTTATGCTAGAAACCGCTATGGGAAAGAAGTATACAAGCATGCGGAACACTGGCTTTCCACAGGCAAACAGTCTGGCTGGGACGCATACGAGACTGGGGTCTTTAGTTCATGCCCTGTAAAAGGATTTCACGGTTGTCTTGATCAGTATCAGCCTGACGGGTCAATACAGTTCGAAAATCAGTGTTAACATTTCAAATCATCCACCCTTACATTGTGCGATTTGTCAGTTTCGCAATCAAACTTTATTTACTGCTATAGGTGGTATTTTTATAGCTGTTAGCGTGGAAACTGGTGTTCGACATTCATTCGCGGGACATCCTCAGCTCCAGTTTAAGACACTGTCTCTCTTTTGCTGTCTCCAACATAAGCTAGCAGACCACACCCTTTGACGTGGTGGGTCAAGCTCATGAGCGCGCACCAAGTAAAACAAACAATTTGGCGTTACTTAAGAGGGGTTTCTAGGGTTTCTAAATGTATTGTGGGTGTATCAACCATAGGGGCGATTAAGTCTGAAAGGAATAACCTCAGTTTACCTCTTGGAATTCAGTTTATTAAAGTTAAAGTGAACGGTAAATTACATTGAAAAAACTGTAATTCGAAATACATATATCTGAAACGAAGAAAGGCAAGTCTTACATTATCGCGTTCTAATGAAAGATATTATGAATGTTATCAGTTCTTACTGGTTCAAGTTGCTCAGAAATTGTGACTTTCCTCACATGTTTTGTATATAAACTGATTTTGTGCTTGTTATACTTGCATCAGTTAAAGAAAGTTTCAATAAACCACATCTAGTAAAGACCGTGCTTGAATCAAAAGACGGTTGAAAAAGTTTCTGAAGAAAAGAATCTGGGCCCGGGAAATCAATCCAAACAGGCCTTGTTCATGGTAACATATGTATCTAAGAAAGGTCAAAAAAGCGAATAGGTTAAAAATTTCAGCAAAAGAATTGTTGCCAGTGGGCTAAACGGTAAAAAATAACTAACTCCACAGGTTTTCCCTGAATCAAAGCAAAGACACACATAGGATCACACAGTCTTGAAAAGATTATGTTTTCCACCAAAAGCAGTGAGGTTCTTTAATGCTGCAAATTCTCACTCCCTGTTGAAGAGGTTAGTAAAGAACGATGATCTTTTTCGCTCGTCAGTGTTTTTTCTCTGCGCTACACTTATAAGGCGGGCTCCTTCTCGTAACATGCTACCGAGTGTTTCCTTGTGCGAGTCAAACACCTTTCCGCTTTCCATTTCCATGAGGTTTGACATTAAGTCACCACCGGTTATCTGTGGGGGCGGTGAATGGGGAACGTGTTAGTAATTAATGAAGTAATAGGGACATTAAGATCCGAGGACGAAGAAGCAGCGAAAACGTCGCATAAAAAGTGAATTCACTTTCTTTTAATCTTTATCGCGATTATTCGTACTCTTTTACTTTTTTGTCAAATGTAGGCGAACTCTCCTGCCGTTCAATTCCTAAGAACCATACTCTAGTTCAGAAAGAGAAACAGAATTTCGCCGTCGCTTGTTTATGTCCTCTATAAAACGCCAAATTAGGCAAAGTCGTGCAGTGACAGCAAGGAATTGTACAGAAAAAGTGTGATGCACGTGTAAAGTTGAAGTTGCTGTTCTTCTCAGTTATTTAACCTATTGCTATTTTTTTTTTTGACTTTCTCGTTACCGTTGCGGCTGTCGTCGGATCTCAAGTTCCTTATAAAGCTACGCATTAGCCGCTGTTACTTAATATGTGGGCCTGGATTTTTTGTCACTTTGATACTACCTCGTAATATATTAATAATAATGTTGGCTTGTTTCTTTAATCAAAGAGATACGTTAAGTCTGAGATTTATATTCCAGGAGATTTTAATATCGATTTTCTTAAATATAGCTGAGCTTCCAATAACTGAAGAGTACCTAAAAGTGCTTTACTCTAACAAGCTGCTGGAATTATCTTCTTTGATTGACTATATCTGGTAAAATTCTAAATAAATATGGATTTGGTTTCTAGGGTTGCGCTAGTTGATATCTCAGACCATCTACTAGTAATTTGTATGCTCGATCGAAAAATATCAAGTTATCACAAAAATTATATTTTGGTGATGACAATAATTTTGTGATGAGTACCAATATATTAGAGGTCAGATGTCAATGCCGGTTATTGGTCCTATATCATAGATACAGTGAATCTCCAAAGTTGCGATTGTAACGGCCGCCGAAAGTTAGAAGCATTTGTATGAGAAAAACAACTTTTACCACCCAGTCACGCTTGCATGGTTTTCCATACAAATCCTTGTAAATTCTAACATTTTTAAACTGTCGTTAAATTCTTTCTCTTACGCATGTACGGGCTCAAATTGCCTGTTATGAATTTGAGATAAGATTATGAGATGCGATTTGAGCCCTGTAATGCTTAAGAAAATATTTCATGAAAGCCTTGAAAATTTCGAAATTGCAAGGATTTGTATGGAAAACCATGCAAGCGTGACTGGATGGCAAAAGTTCCAACTTTCGGCGGCCGTTGCAATCGCTACTTTTGAGACATACGACTGAAAATACTCAGGTTACATACTTTTAACACGCTCTCTCAGCTTGTGCTAACAAAATTTTTCAAAAGTGAACTGTTTTCGTTTTTACCGAAAGTTGATCACGTGATCAAGTCATGCAAAGAGCCTATTGACTGATCACTCGGATATTACTGTACAGATTAATCAGCATCTTGTTAATGTTGGCAGTAATTCAGCAAAAACCATTATAAAACAAGCAAGTTAATGAAACACACACCATAACTTAGTTTGTTCATGTCTCCTGGTTGCCAATATCTCCCGGTGTAGATGTTAAATTATTAAATTCCTCAGAGGGAGCTACGGACTGCCTTGCCTTTTTTTGGAGGATTTTGAGTCCCGAATCAGTGAGTATCATTATTATTGTCGCTTCTATCACAGCCTCTGCTGGTGTTTTTTCTGTGCATCAGACGGGCGCAAACCATGCACCTGGAGCATCAGTCACTCAAGTCAATCATTCTGTTCATACACTAAGCACCTTTCTGAGGATTCGTGCAGATCCCAGCATGCAGATCTTTTGAATATCTGTCACAGTAGCTCTCTCTGATACTTTCTTGATGTTTTCTACCATCCCCTTCGTTATTGTACCAAGCGCACCAACGACCACAGGGATCACAACGGTTTTCATATGCCACATTCTCTGTTATTATTATTATTGTTGTTAAGCAATAAATTGGTTATCACAGACACGTCAATTATAGATAACTTCTTGATCTCCCTTAGACCCCCTAATATTTTGCTTTATCAGTATCAATGACATTGCTAATTTTCCACCGAATTATTGATGATGTCAACATCCTCTTCTTCGGATGACATTACATGACGTTGAATCAGTTTAATATGTATTGTGAGATGGCTAGATTCCCCAATTATTGTGCTGCTAATAAACTATCTTTCAACATGAAAAAGACCAACTTCATATTACATAACTTCATCCACGAAAAAAGTCAGTCTAACAAGTTTTTTTAGTTTTGAGAGGAAAACGTGCATATAGTACATTGGAGTTTATCTAGCACATCTCTAGCTATCGCTCATTTAACTTAGAAAGATCAAATTAGCCACTTTAAAAACAAGCGGGCTAAAAATATTTGAATATGAGTAAATCAAGACGCTATGTTGGCATACAAAACGCTTAAACACTCATATAGCCTTGTTTAAATTATGCAGTTGTAGCGTGGAGAAATGTATAGCCATCTAACCTAGAGAGTTATAATCTTCAAAATAAATGCATTTGCTGTATGTTCTCCGTTGGCAATAGAGTTCGTCTTTCAAAGTTTTTGATAAACTCCTTGATATTCTTAACTTGATTATAAAGAATGTGATTGAAGACATGCGTGTTTTCGTATTTTTCATCAGCAGTCTTCCACAAGAGAGGATAAAGGGGACAGAGAAGGCATCCCCCATACACACCCTATTCCAAAGGTAATTCGTCTCGAGTTATTTTTAGAATCGGGATAAAGTTACCTCGCGCGCTGCGTGGATGTTTCGTGGAGGTTTCGCATGACTAAACGCCTTGCAAAACATGTCGGGCGAAAGGCAATGAAAGCGTAAAGAGATCGAGAGCATTCCTGAATATTCAAGCGAAATGAGTCGGCGCTTACCTGGGAAAAGGGAATCTCTGGACTCTTTGACAAACCGTGAAATCAATTTAAGTAGAAGTTGTCGTAACCTCAGTGCTTTAATAAAATGAGAAATTTCGCCGGTCTATTGAAACCGGTCGTTTGTACAATAAAGCAAGTAGGACGCCAAGTGTTATTTTTGTTGAACAATAAAAGACTAATAAAAGAATAAATATCAAACCAGAAATTGCTCTCTTCAAACTGTAAATCATAAATGATCCTGAGAGAATATTGAGTGTGTTAAGGATTTCCCTGCTGTACTGTTAGCTCCATACAAGAGAGGAAGGGCGATTCTTTTTTAATTTCCGTTTCACTGACTCAGCTTTAGCAGAAATCTCTCTTTAGTCGTTTTCGTCGACAAAACGAGTAGCAATATCGCTCTCCGCGTCTTCCGCCATTTTTTTCTGCGTCAATTCGTGAAGGACGCGTGGCTCTGAGCGTAGGTCATCTACGCGGAACACATTCGCGCTATGTGATTGGCTGTTGTCTAATCCCCCTTGGGATCTGTGGTCTTAAAAATAACTCGAGACGAATTACATATGGAATAGGGTGTGTATGGGGGATGCCTTCTCTGTCCCCTTTATCCTCTCTTGGTCTTCCAGTATTCCTAACACAGTTTCATAGCACCCTCATGACTCACATTAGCATCTAAGAGCAATTTTCACCGACCAAAACTGAGTACTGGACCACCAGCGGCAAAGTTACCTTTCGTACAAAGCCTGCAAATCATATCAGCCATAGTTCCTTTATCTTCTCAAATACAATTTAAACCCAATTTTCTCTACCTGTTTGTGTGAAACCTGTCAATACTCCGATTGTTTAATGTATGATAGTTTTACTAATAGTACCCAATCATATTTTCATTTATGCTTTCATAACTCTTGTTTCATCTAACGGATTAGTTCGCTGTAATTTATTGTTGGCTTTTTCTTTAACTTTCCTTATTTTCAAATAAGCAGCAGCCAACTCGAAAGCTTTGCTAATTTGGCTGTTACACACGTATCTTACAAATTTCATAGTTATGTAATCTATATTAGTTTGATACTGTTCAATATCTGCCTTTTTTCTTTTTGTATTACCTAATAACGCTGCGCACAGTTGCTATTTATAGAATTGAAACTCAGACAAACAAGTTTAAATTAACATTAGCGAATTCTCACTTTTTTGCCTTTTGTCATTAAAACGTCATGTTTGTCTGACTTCTGTCATTAAAATGACAACAATGACAAAAGTCAGTTAAATTTTGCAATAGCCATTGCGAAGACATTTGTGCCTCTGCTATTTTTGCTGTTAGTATAGTTACTCAGATGGTTATAGACATAGTCCAGGACTACGTCATATTCCCCAATATCACCCTTCCTGCGGTTATTATTAGCAAACTCTAATGACTTCAGATCAGAACGAGATCGAGCGCGAACTGTACACAACGCCGAGTATAATGACAGAAAAATTGATTTCCAAAACCACTTAAAGACGTCTTATTTCGGGATAACATATCTCAAGGTAAGATTTTTCAGGTTTTGATAGTTAAAGAGCTATTTAACTCCCCTTTTTAAACTTATTATTTCAACTGAATGGTACTGCTGAAACAAGTAAGGTAGTGAGCAAAACAACTTAAAATAAAATAAACGTAAAGAATTATCATCTTTCAACATGTTTAACAGACTGATTTGGGAGAGCAAGGGTGGCGCCTCTCCCACCACAGTGGACCGGGTTCCATATCAGGGGTTGAGTTTGTTGTTGGTTCTCTCCTTTACTCCGAGAGGTTTTTCTCCGGTTTCCCCTCTCCTCATAAACCAACACTTCCAAATTCCAATTCGATCTGGAACGCACGGACACGTTGAAGCGAGTTCATAGGAACTCCTAAGTGCTTCGTGGGCGAACAAAATGCAATTTTACTTTTCTCATTTTTGGTTAGAAAGAACCAATTCACAGGAACGTTGTAAGCACTGCAGTAAAGAACACTATAAATCTTTCGATCGCGAAGTCCCCCGTCGCTGATCGTCGACACGAATGAAAATGCCACCGCTCAGTCTACGAGAACGATCAAAGCAAGAAATATGATTAGCAAAACATAAAGCTTATGCTTTTATGAGAACGGTTTAAATAAAGTTCAACAATAGCCTGGAAAAAACGAAATTATATACATTCCTCTTCAAGTTCATGTCATTTATCTCACATCATAAAAATGTTGAACTAAAGATTTCTTTTTTTTCCTCCCATACTTACCTCACGAATTAAACTAAAGAAAAATTATTGACCTAAGGCAAAGACGAAGATGAGCTGAACTCTCGGGGATTATCCAACATTATTATTCTCTCTCCGTTTCTGAATGGCTTTAATCCCCCGGATAGTTTGTCATAACCAGCTCGCGCTTACCACATTTTGAAGATGCTTAGATTATAGCATTATTGACATTAGTCATTCGTATATTGCAAATTATTCTAAGACAACGCACGGCGCGTCAGGTTAGCTGTTTTGGCGAGAGTGCGAGAGTGCAGAACCCAAGAAAATCAAAGAGTTTGTTTGAAGGTAAAATAGCCAAATAGCTGCCTGTTTTAATTCTTCAATTGAAGAGTGCGATGTTGAAACAAAAAATGAGATGAGCTCAATATTCGACTAATCAACTTCAAATTTAGTTGTTCTAGTTACTTCATCGACTTAAGGTGTTTTGATATAGTTTTTCAGAGGACATACTGATATTTTTCAATCGCTTGAAAAGTGATTTTATCCTTGTTTAATCGCTATAAAATTATCACCAATGATTGACTATAGATTGAAATTTATCAAAATAGAGGTTTTAGTAAAATCGATGTTACTATGACAACAATAGACAAAAAACTTTGAAACTGATAAACGCCTAATTTTGCGCGATGTAGACCAGCTAATCATGTTGTCAAAAGAATAAGCGTTAACCCGCTTGGGACTTAAAACAGGGCTCGTAAAGATTTTTGAATCCAAAATTAAAGACTTTTTCCACCCTTTTTCCAAAACAATAATTTATATTTCCAGACTCAAGGTTACCAAATAGGCGATTTTGACAACGTGAAAAAAAATTCACTTATTAAGCAATTGTTGTAGCTTTGAAAAAACATTCCAGACTTTTTCAAGGTCTGGAAAATTGCTTTGCAAAATTCAAGATTTTTCAAAAAATTAGAGGCTCTGCACGAACCCTCTTAAAATCACTGAGCCATGACGTGATAGTGCAAGTTCCATTTACTTCCGCTTTCATTGTCCATTGCAGATAACAAATTGTTTCCCTTCCGGATCACTGCAAACTTGCGTCCTATAACATATAATTTCGAGCTATGAATGACTAGAAGTAGGGAAACTTTGAATTAAGTACAACAACTAGTTTTATTAAAATTGCCTCCAAAAATTAAAATTACGGAATGACTCTGAACATTTGCTGGTCTTAGAAGAGCTTAATGGTGGTCATTTTCGTGAAACTACAGCATCCGGTGACACTCATCTTTCGACTAGCTGATCAGTTATTAGTTACTAAGTAAACGAGCGCCGACGTTAAATACTTAAATTTTCAGGTTAAATTCAAAGACTCTTTGTCTTATCTCTTAGCTAGCCAATTCATCCTTTTGACTACTCTCCCCTCAAGCGCTACTTTTAATGTCTTCCATAGGTGAAAACAGTTTTGTCAATTCAGCTTTTGTGACGGCATTTCAAGGAATTAAAGTTGAGGTGAGCGTTCTTTCGAGGAATTTCTGTAAATGTTTTTTTCCATTCTCGATCTTTAAGGAATTGATCTCACTCTTATTTGTTACCCTTCTCGAACTAACTTAACTTTGTTCAAATTTATTCCAAAGGAATACGTCGAGCAACAGAGAGAAATTGGGGACCTCTTAAAGTTTGCAACGAAAAGAAAAAAAATCCAAAATGTCTTCTTCATCAGAGTGCATCATCTGGTTTGCTGTATTCCTTACCGCGTCTGTTGCTATAGTAATAGTGAACTTCCTATCAATCATTCTTTTTATGAAGAACAGTAATCTTCGCACTCGTGCCATGTATTTGGGTATAAACTTGACCGTTGCTGACATGTTCGTTGGAGTAATATCATTTTTCTTTGTATTAATTGAGCTACATGAACGCCTTAAATGTGACATTGTGAGTATATTCGTAACCCTGAAAAAGAGACTGATAATAACCTCTCTCTTCGATTGGTTTCCTCTCACCTCTCTAACAAGCATTGCAGTAATTTCTTTAGATCGGTTGCATGCGACTTTCCGTCCATTCAGGCATCGTTTCATAACAGAAAATGTCTACTGGGTAACAATTTCCGTAACCTGGGTTTTACCTGCCATGGTATCAGTTACACTTTCGTTATTTTTAGCATTTTGGAATGAATTGCAGAGGTATTATTTTCCCCTGTGGGAGTCATACAGCTGTTTGTGTCTATTTGTTATCTGTGTTTCTTACTCCTCCATTGTTGTTCAATTTCTTCGTGGGGCGAAGCCTCAGCAACACGGTGCAGCAACCAATAGACAAAGAAAACTTACTATAACTTTATTCATCATGACTGTTGTATCCTTACTGATGTGGCTACCATACGTTATAGCTGCTTTATCCCACTTAAAATCTATGCGTTTGCGAAATTCTTTAGGGGCTCTATTCTGTGCAAACTCGTTTGTCAATGTCATCGTTTACACAATCAGAATGCCAGAGTTTAAAAAAGCTATCCTGGAATTATTCAAATGTCGGCAAAGACAAAATGCTGCTGTTATTCCTCTGCAGGCCCGTTAATGTACCTTATGTAATATTTCTATTGTACGTTCACCATGATATGAAGTCCGCTAAGAAGTATACATTGATTTCGTTTTTTTTCGGAAAAATAGTGGTTCAATGCTTACTTCTATAGAGAGGAGAAGTCGTTGCGTCACGTTGCCATGCTAGCAAAATTTTTGGATGACAACAAACCGAAAATTCACTTAAAAGTAAATTAGCACTGTTTCAAACTTCATCGATCTTATTCAATTTCATTTACTTTGTCAAATGTCAGCGAAATTTTCTGGTGTTTAATCCGAAGGGACCGTACCTGAGCTTAGAAAAGGAAAAGAAACTTCTTGTGTTGTGTTCACCTACTCCGTAAAGCGGGTGCGTGAAATTAGGAAGTTTCATGTCGCAGTAGTGCAACGATGGCAAAAAAATGTGCAAAAAAGCGTGATGCACGTGCAAAGTTGTTGTTTTACTAATGTAATAATGTACACGAAAAAATTACTCAATTCTGATTGGCTGAGAAAGGAGTGCAAACTTGTAACGCGAGTGCAAAACTTGTAACACAAGTGCAAATTACAAATGGTTTCTGACTGGCTGAAAACACAAAAGAAACAATCAAGAACCAATCAGATTTTAGCTGTTTTAACAAAACTTAAGAAAATGAACATGGTTTTCTGCAAACAACGATTTGATTTTGTACGCAAAACGACAATAGAAAACATTCCAAAAACCCGAACACGGTAAAAAGTACGTCTTTGCGGCTAAATGTATTGAAAATGCGGTGCTAAGAGAAAAATACTGTTAAAAAAAGCGAGGAAAATGCGCCAAAGAAACTAAACAAGTTGCTTATAACAGACTACGCCATTAAAAGGTAAAAAATAAAGAGCAAAAGCGGTGGCAACCACACGCAAGCCATGACAGCTACACTTTTCAGGCATTTAAGTGAACAAGGATACAAGTTTTCCATGATAACAACAGGGATTTCAAGTCACGTACGTTTTTTGTTGGAGGAGAAAGGCGTCCGGTTGCTCTATTTAAGTCTTTTGTCACGCGAAGACCTCTATTAAAACACTGGCCATGCGATGGTCTGTTTTTTTCTACCTCAGTAGCAAACGAAACCGAAAATCTACACATCTGATTCAAACTAAACCAATGGGCGAAAATACCATAACTAACACAATGAAAGTATCCGTAGCTGGTACTAGCCTTAAAGAAAGTGAGAAAAAAGTTTGGGAATCATAGTGCAAGAAAAACAACAGTCAGCAAGCTGAAGAAATCAAAGATTGTAAGTTCAGAATATATCGCTAAAGTCACAGGCCACAGAACGACTACGATGAAGCCGACGAAGAAGAGCGACGACGACTCTCTCCTGCAATAGGCCAAGGCCAAATGAAATAATGAAAACCTCAGCGCTGAGAAAATGCAAACATTATATTTAATTAATACTGGCAGTTTCCAACATCACAACTGTGTCTCCACTCACCCATCGATGGCAGCGACGAAAGAAAACAAATTGCCTCCTACATTTTTGGGTTGTAAATCTCAAAAATTTCTCCATGAATCCAGCTGTGATGGGGTCTCAGGAACAGACAATGACGAACAGTCGTTAAACAACTCTTATCTTTGGCTGCTCGAAGCGTTCTCCTGATTTCAAAACGGCAGTATACTTCTTGTAAACGCCGAGCTCTCATAATCGAGGATGAATTTAAAAACACTTACTTTTACTGATTATTTTAAATCGAGTTGTGTGTAACAGGCTGGTGACCATATAAAATCAATCCTTACACATTTCCAAGTTCTTAGTGAATGATTTTGAAAGCGTTGGTCTTAAAAAAGTTTGAATTTGACAAAGGTAGCAGTCTGTTTCAGCCAGTCAGTTGAATGAACTAAAAACGCGCGCCCTACGGGCTCGTGCACTTTTGTTGCTCTTTGAAAAATTTACTCGTGCTTATTTATTCCAAATTGCACTCGAAATCATGTGATTACCTATACTAAACTTATTACTTTTTTGCCGTTCTCGTTGCTGTCGCCGTCGTTGTTGCCTAAGCTCGCTTTTCTTGTGATCCAAATATTTTGCTACCATGGTAACGTGACGTCACACTTCTCCTCTCCATTACTAACGTTTGTTCGATAAAAAGACTGTAAATAAATAAAGTAGAGGTGTTACACATGACTGTCATGTAGTACACGACTCAGATACTTACATAAGAACGCTCTAGAAAAATTATTTTACAAGTATACTTCCCACAGTCATCTTTTCCATTCTAGTCTGGGACACCTGCTAGCCTTCCTTAATATTAGAGATCTATTTAAGGGGGCTGCCGGCTATACTGAACCATTCCGCGGCTTAGGCTGCTGTCCAGAGACACTTTAGATCAAGAAACAGTTAAGAGCCTCTTCAGCCTCTTTAACGCTGCTAGAAAATAAACTGCTGAAACCAATGTATGGAATAAACAACAGCAACTCTAAGTATAACCTCCATTACATGAGGTCTACCTTGCCTTTGCACTACCTTGCTTTAACCAAGACATAGAGAGAAATCCCCTGAGATATATAGGCTTGGAATGGTCTTCCCTTTTCTTAAAACAGGCTCCGTCGTAAGAGAAAACTAAAACAAAGAATACATATGTCTATTTTCAGCAACTTGTCTTTTCTAAAGGAAGCCTGTTTTATTTGAAACAAGAGGTTAGATTTCAAATATTCTTGGTTTAAAAGTCACTTTGCATTTATTCATGTTAACCTATGATTTGTAAAGTTATAGTTTCATATAATAAGTTTTTTTTTATATAAATTTCTACGGTTTTGGTCAATTTATATAACATTCACGCTTACTAGAAAGTATACATTATGTAAATAGGCTAGGTAATAACAATTATAAGGTTTGCCTGTGGCTTGTTGATCGCTTTAGCTATTTAACAATTAGTTCATGCGTCAGCGTGCGTATGTCGAGATATTGAGCACGCGGGAAGTTTGGAGAGCACGAAAGAGGCGTAAGAGTTGCACGAGGCGCAGCCGAGTGCAACTCTAGCCTCTTGAGTGCTCTCCAAACTTCCCAAGTGCTCAATATCTCGACATACGCACAGCTGCAGCATGAACTAATTGTTTTATAACATTATCAAAGCGATCAATGCACCAGTTAACTTAAAATTTTATTATTGTAGGGCGCGCTCAAAGCAGTACGCGTCAATGTTTACGTGAGTATATTTTTTTCCTCACAGTTAAGCTTATGTTTTTATCCTGAAACTGAGAGAAAGTGAACTCTAAAATGATTGTAAAATCTATATTTAGGTGCCGGAAGACTATTAATTCACCGAAAAATTGTTATTGAGAGAAAACAACTTTGCAAAGAATGATCTCACGCCATAGTCTGCACAGCTCGCGGAGATGACAACAACAACAACAACAGCACTCACCTCTTTTCCTTACTATCGGTTAACAAATTCAAACGTTTCCTCTTAAATTTCCTTATAAAACACATGGTAAACTTTTTATCGTGTACTGCCGAGTTATGGATGCACTCATGAGACTCAGGATTGCTAAGCTCACAACAACTCGAGGAATTACGAATAGTTTATTGACGTCATCAGCGTGCTCAATAGGAATATGAAGCACGCTCGCGCTATTGAATTTGATTAGGCGGATTTTCTAGCTATGTTATAATATACATTATAGATTCACAGTATCCAAGTTCTTTTTTCAACTTTCTGGAATTACTACTTCTTATGTGGTAAGGAAAAAAGGAAAAGTATCTAGAATAAAGTCTAGTTGTCGTTTACACCTTAATTTGTGGTTTTACATTGTAACGTCTACTTCATAGGGCTTGGCATGTGTCAGTAAAATAAACTATTTTAAAGAATCCAGGGAATAAAACTACCTTTCAAAAATGATTTCTCAATATTGTCATCTGTGATTGGTATATAGGTCACTGGGGATGGGAAACGCTCGAAAATGGAAATAGCACACTTTCCCTTTAGTTTGGGAAACGTTAGAAAACTGTTGAAAGTGCCTATTTTACACCAACCGTTTCCTCCTCTTGTCAGGCTTGTTCAAGGAGTAAGTTATTTAAATAGTTAAAAACGTGCTGCGGTACGTTTTTTTAAAAGCATGTTCACTGATCTGTATTCAGTGTTACAGAGAATCAATGCATCAATGGTATGTTGACACCGAACATCGTCCCGCCGGAGAGGTTGTCCGAGAGAGTTTGGTCCCTAAATTCCAATCTTCACTCCTAAAATATTTACCTCCGTGTCAGTAGGTTCCAGACTTCTTTCCCACCTTCTTAGTCACTTCCGCTAAGGTCCGAACACCTCACGTTCACACTAAACCAAATCGATCGGATCGGCGAGGCGCAGCTCCGCTCTGTTACAGAAATCGCGCCGAAATCACCGTTCTTATGTGTGAACAGAAGCCCTATCCGTTTGATTTTCGTGCAGTCAGTTCAGTATTTGTAAGAAAGATAAGTACTAAAAAAAGAGTAACCAATGAGAAAACCACTAAACGTTTTATTGAGATTTACCCTAAAACAAGGTGTTCAGTTAATTTAATGTGACAGCCGATTATTTCTCGCCAGTGTACCTCCGAAAAAGACACCTTTTACAAGCCATACCGATATTGTTGTTGTTTTTTTTCCCTTGGTCAAACATTTGTGGGGAAGTTTAGTTATCAAAACGTTGTGTAATTTATATGTTTACATTCGGCATTTGGCTATTATACATATCAAACCTTGGTTCCCGAGGGACCTTTGCGACGCATATTCTACAACTATTTAAACCCTTGCCACTTGTAGCCCTAATCACTAGCCTTTTTTTGTTATTTCAGTATTTTTCGATACAACTAGTCGTGTTCGTCCTATATTGTCTGTTGTTTTTTTCCTAATTTAGAACATAAACGCTTTCTCTGTGGAGAGAAGCAGTGAGAAAGCCGAGAACGCTTTTTCGTCATCATCAACATTCGGTCGGGATACTCTGAACAATAATCTTATTCCACGCATCCCGGCCTGGCATCGCGTTCAAAAGATCTTCCCTGCTTTTTTCGTATTTGACATAACTATCTTATTTTGGTAAACTTTTATTCACATTTGAGTTATTATCATAAGGATGGTGCATTATTCAGGATATACCTGGCCGATTTCGTCATCTCAAGGGTCAGCTCGAGAAAAAAGGGATCCGGCCTCGAAACACTGATGTCAGCAAATCACTTTTTCAACACTGTACCAAAGGAAAAGAAAGAAAAGTTCCTTACCAAGAAGTTGTTGTCCTCACTCATCCGTTTAACCTCATCCGAATCATTTTTTAGAATGCCTTCCTTCCTGGCCTTTTCTTGCAAGTCCGTCACTTCACTAAAGATCTGGCAAAATAAATAACAGCAGTAGTCAGTAACACGCTAAACACCACTGATGATAGCACAAAGGAAAATGTTTAAAATGTTTTGTTTTAGTATTGAATATGTCACTTTTCATTAAAGTTAGTTTAGTAATGACCCATTTTCCTTTGGACAATTTATTTATGTATTTGTTTCTTAATAGAAGCAGACCACTATTGCAGAATCTGCATTCACATTTACATAGACTTTATGAGTATAGCCCCTTGCAGACGGACGCAACATTGTTGGCCAACAACTCCCAACTTTGTTGGATGTTACATGTTGCGTCCGTTTGCACACCCTGTTACATGTTGTTGGATGTTGTTGCGTGTTGTTGCGCAAAGTTTGAAATCGATCAAACTTTTCAGCCAACAACTTTCAACATTTCTTTTGTTCCGTGATCGCCGAAGTGTAGCGCAACAATGTTGGATCCGTTTGCACAGCTCTTCCAACATTGTTGGAGCCACGCACGCTCATTACGCATGGTTTACAAAGACTTAAGGGTTGTATCCTTCCCACGATGCACTGCAGGTCTCAACATTGTTGGGAGTTGTTGCATCCGTTTGCAGACCACTGCCAACACGCACGCAACAACTCCCAACATTGTTGGCGCAACAATGTTGGGAGTTGTTGGGTCCGTTTGCACGCACCCTAACGTCTAACTATATACTAGGTTTTTAAATCAGCTCAATTATCATGCATATGTAAAAAAATTCTTAAAAAATAACTTTTAACCAGAGTTACCTGTAAAAAATGGCATGGGCAATGTAAAAAAAATGAATTTAAAAAGGAGAGGAAATAATTTTTTTCTCACTGCAACAAGAAATTACTCGCGTCCTGACGAGCAGCCAGTTCGGGACGGAACTGTTACAAGCCCGGCACAATAATTAACAATTATGGAATGAGGCTCAGTATCTTACGAAGAGTCATGGAGATTGAGGAGGGTGTTATAGGATAACACCCCCCGAGACCTCCATATGATACAAAAGCCGAATTCAATAATTGTTTTGTTATTCATTCAAAATAATTCCTAGTTTAAGAACAAAGTTAACACATGCTTACCTGCATCGATGTTAAGTTACCTTCAATAGTGCACGTTTAGGAATGTTCAGCGCCGCAAATATTCTCCAAATAGCAGATGTCGCCCTTCGAGTTGTGTTCTTGCTGTTCTTGCCATATTTTTAGCAATAATTTCGCCTAGTTCTTACTCTTGAAACGAGTAAAATGTCCGCCATTTTTTGTTTTCACAACCAAAAGAATTCAACCGTTCCCAGGTCTTCTCGGTTAACGGTGCATTTACCTGCAAGAACGCTGCATTTTTGACGTCATTTCCTCGTTAAACCCAAAATTCTTCCAAATTTAGTCTTAAGTAACTGGTTATGGTGAATTATGCGTGTGCTTTTAGTTAATCAGAATCGGGGAAATATTTTGAATGAATAATAATATGTTTTGTTACCCCTTTGAGAATAAGATCATGTGAGCTAGGCTAGGTACTCTAGGGAGGTGTGACCCACGGTTAGCATTAGGTAACATCATCTGAAGCAAGATTGTTTCTGTCAGTAAAATTACATGAAGAACAACTGAAGTCGAACTTTACAGTGTGTAATGTTAGTGTTATCAGCCTCAGCCTTCGACTTCGGCTGATAACACTTACCTCGACCTTGATTATTCCGGATATCACAAAAACCTCATCCAAAAAACATGATAAGCCTACCGAACACCATATAAGAATTTATAATGGAAAGTTAACAGAAAAGCGAATCTGTTTTTTTAGCGTAAGCTGCTGTGATGTCTCCACAAAACCTGCCGATGCTATAGAACCTAAGATAGCAGGGGGCTTTAAAGGCAACGACGACGGCGACAGCGACGTCAACGAGGACGTCAAAAAAGCCGAGATCCTGGCCAGTAAGTGATTACACTGTACATGAAAATCAAATCGAGCCATGGGCCTGTTTCTCGAAAGTCCCGGTAACTTTTCGGGCAAGGAAAGCTGTTTTGTGTTTGTTGTGTTTGCATACAAGATCAAAGTTTCAACAAGACGCAATCGGAGCGTACACTTGGGCGTCGTTGCATGACGCGTTTGTGAGCATTTTTTGTGTCGGGCAGGTGTGACTACCGCAATGTTGTTATATTGCCAAGGGTTGGTTGAAATGGGTGAAAAACGAGACGTGGAGCCATTAGATAGAGGACGTTGCTAGCGTAAACTGGCTCACCGAATAGCGAACGCGCACGACCACCAAGAAATGTTATGGATTGGTAGCAACCTCTTCAGTTCGAGTGGCAAGAAAACGCGCGAGTGAGCTTTCACTTTCCTTCCCCGCACCTTGCTTCCCATAGCCTGAGTACAGCCGCCCCCTTCCCCCAGCCCCTTCTACGATCTTTTCTGAGGGGAGGGGGCGGCTGTACACAGGCTATGCTCCAGCGTCTCCTTTCGCCTTACATCTCTCGATATCCCTTAAAAGGAGAGCCTGTTCGCAGGCTGTTACACTTTTCATTGTTGTGAGAGACGATTGCATTGCATCGCCATTATGATGGCTGAGTCGATTCCAAGTGTACCCATGCCCCAAAAGCATTTGTCAGGTGCTCACATCCATTTGGCCTTCCACATCTAAGGAAGAACGGATAAAATTGATCAAACTCTCGTCGGTAACCAAACCCGTCAACTCCAATCACCTTAACGAGATTTATCTCCAATTATTGGAAGAAATCGCTCCGTCTCTACGTAAAAAACAACCCTCTCCCAAACTAAAAAGTATCCCTGTGTTGTGAAGATTAAATAATCAGCATGTCACGAGCGTGGAACAAAGAAAAATCTGAGTCCCCGACAGGATTCGAACCTAAGCTACGGAGAACTCACGGAAAGCGAGGCCATATACCAGGTTCATATTTGACACTCGTCCTGCATACTGCTACGATCAGCCCGCCCTGTGTTTGGGATGTCATAGGTTCGAATCCTGTCGGGGACTCAGATTTTTTCTTTGTCCCACGCTCTAGACATGCTGATTATTTCATCTTCACATTTCTTCACCGAGTTCTATCCCTGTTGAAAAGTTGCGGTTGCCCACTTCTTTTTGGCCTTCGGAACGACGCGACGGTAAATTCGTACTACGTTGCATGCACACGATGTAAACAACAATAACGACAAAAACTTCAAAACCTTTCCTTGGTACTTTCAGAAGACCACAAATGATCGATCTTTGACTTTTTTGCTGCGAAGCAAGCTAACCAACGCTTGTAGCCGTTGTGCCAAACCAGAGGTCAACATAGCGGCAACCAAGTACTTGCTCCTTTTAAACCATTTTATCAATCATTTTCAATTGAACCAAGCGATTATTTTTGTCCCTTTTCTTTCATTTCCCGCACGAAAGTCAACAGTGCGCGATATTATAGCTAATTTTCACATGACAAACGGCAACATTAGGTCGCGGTGGCGCAATGGGGTAAGGACGTATGCAAAACATGGACCACCCCTGCATGTGGACCAGGTCCATGGACCCCTTCGTGGACCCGGTCCACGGACTACCGCTGTGGAACACCCCTAATTTTTGAAGATGATTTTTTTCCAGAGGGCTTAAACAAATTTGAGGAACCTTAAGTAGTGGTCAGTTTTTACCATTGTAATGGGTTCGTTTTAGTCTCGTGAAGGCGTAACCACATTAATTTTGAAGGGAAAAGGAGGAGTGGTAGGGAAGAAGTAGTCTCCTACGCAGCTCTTTTTTTGTCTTCGCGTTGCGTGGAAATCGAAACAAAAACGTCAGCACAAGACAACGATTTTCTTTTTCCTTCCCTGAACCTAAATAAAGACATCTAAAATGCGACGCCAGAAAATCATCTCCAACGTCTGACTAATTGATCGAGGTGGAAAAAAGTGATAACGTTTGATACAGCGTGAATTCGCTTTTTAAGTGACGTTTTCGCTGCCGTCTTACCTTCACTATCTCTGCTTGGATGGTTTTGGCCTCCACAAGGTTTTTTTCGATCGTACTCAGAATCAGGAAATAGTTCTCTAGCTTCTCATGGGTAATGTCTGTCAGGTTCTAAAAACATATCACAATAAAAGACAAATTTCAGTTCGCCAACAACCACTTTTGTATTCTCAAAGACATGGAAGACTAAAATTAAAAAAGATACTGCTAACTGCTAAATGCTTCGTACACACACATTATGAATGCTTAAGAATCGGATACTAAAGCATTCACTTAATCAGGCAGTTAGAGTTCCACGTGCCTCACTTTAATTGGCTCAGTTATTGAGTACACGAGCATGTACGTCAGGTACGCCTCCATGATGCCCTAACTCTCAGACAACCAAGAGAAGTTACAAAAGTGAAGGGAGCTGATTTGTTTGACAAAATGGTCAGTGATTGGAACCATAAACTTCACTCAATGCTGCCACAGTTAAATAATACAACTGACGCTGCATTAACAGCGAAAAATGTATAATATAAGCCTCACCGGCACCTGCCTCCCCCCCCCCCCGGCGAACTAGAGGCTTAAGCTCGACAACCGTCCTCAATTGATTAAAAAATTAAATATACAATGTACCGCATCAAAAGGATACGAACGGTTTTCAATAGACACCGATCGCGAGCTACGGTATGAACTACAATACAAAGTACACCACTTTCCATGCATAAAGCTTATTCTTCACGAAGTCTCGACCAAAAGGCCTTCTCCACCATGGTTCATGGTCAGACGTAGCCCTTCGCCCATTCAGACCAATTTCAAGTTCAGTTATCGGGTATGAATAAGCCAATACTATCAATTGTACCTTGAAAACGTACTTCCTCTGATTATAATTCTGTGAGAGTTAAAAAAGTAAATTTTCCTTCCAGAATCAGCACCTTTGTGTGTAAGCCCACTTCGAAAATAAGTTAAGGGATTACAGTAAAACCCCGCGATTAAGAACCTGGACTTTTCCAAGTCGGCCTAAACAGGTTCTTACATAAATGGTAGTTAGCGCAAGTTTAGGCTATTTAGGTTCTTAAATAGGTTTTTATTATCTGAAGAAAACAACACACAACACAGCTAATAGTATTTAGTGGTTAAGCTTATTCCTGAGTTTCCTCATATAAAATGTACATACCATTTTAGAAGTTATGTAAAAATGACCATAAAAAGAAGAACTAAAGTACTGATCTACAGAATTTTGAAGTCGTACCTAAGAACATCACATAAATTTATTGTAATTTCGTCTCCTATTACGATCAGCTCTGACTAACAGTTGATTTAACCCTTAAACAATAATAATTCCACCTTGTAATCTTAGCATTTAACTCATCATCATGTATAGACTGAAATTTGGAAATTTCTAGAAGACATGTGTAATTTATGTTCACCTCTACTTCTCTGAAAATCTGTGATAAATTAGAGAGTTTATAGCCATAAATACGGTACATAAATAAATCCTGCGGTATATCAACCATGGGAGGATTTAATGTCAGAGGACCTGTCTCAAATGCACTTTTCATACTATATGGTTTTGGTTCAAAAGTTCATCATTCTACAGACTCTTCTATATGCTGATGTGTAGGAGATACAACAGTCAATACTAATAATTTTTGCTCATATAATTTATATGGGTTATTTCACTTGAAATTGCATCAATAACTATTTTATTTGATTTTAAACATTGACATTCACATTGCAGTTGGAGTTGTAAGGCACCTATGCCTCCAAAGAGGATTCTGAATGTTGACTTATCTTATTTGCCAAAGTGTACAGAATTTTTTCATAGATTTTAGAAAAACAAGAACGCTCTTAGTAGCATTAAATCTCGCTTGCTTGGAGATAAGTTTTGTTGTCAAAGGCGCCGGTGCTGTTATACTATTTTTTCGTTTGGAATACAAAACGAGTGTTATATGTCATAATGTAAATACTCAAAACGTAAAAATTGCAAGGCGAGACAGGCCGCACATCTTAGCTTCTCTCTTTCAGGCATATTACACTCCAAAAATTGAACGATGATTTTTATCAGTATAAATATTTGTAGCTTCTATGTGGCGGACCAAGATACGGCTCGGTACAGTATATGTTCAGCACAGGAAAAATGTGTAAGTTTAGCAGAACCTTATAATACAACAGACTGTTAATTCAGTTCACGCGTATTCCTGCTGAATTTGTTGTCCCTTTTATAAGATATCAAACTCGCGTGAAAGTAATTACATTTTCCATAGCTGCTTAGTATCTGCTTTTAATGTCTCCCTACAGTCTCAGAGTACAATGTACAATGTTTAGAGCAGCACACAGCATGCAGCATATCACAGTATCACTGGGATAAAGCGTTTCATTTTCCAGGAAAATTTCACTTTCTCGTCAAAACAATCACTGACTCAGTCAGACTCGGAGTAGTTTACTTAAATTTAGTGTTCAGTACAGCGAAATATGTTCTGTGAAATTTATCTACAGTCTGCGGCCCACATCGATCACAACGATCCGATTCTTAACCGATCCTCGATCCTCGAAGTTTTGCTCACAAGCTTATTCTTTTTTTTCGACCACGAAGTAATCATTTGTTCCAAAGTAATCAACGCTTTCAAGCGATAGAATTTTTGGACCGAGTCGACCCGTTCCGGAAAAGCTCCGCATGGGATTTCTATTATATGGACATGAAGTGCTTCAACTAGAGTGCCTGATAGTCAAGTACAAAGCTACCTAACGTATAAAAACACATCCGTGACATACGTAACATTAGGGTGGATTTCCACTAACGCCTATTTGGCTCCGCACGTAAACGCACGTAAATTTTAATCACGTAAATAAAATAAAGGCAAGATATAAAGTGTGGAGATAAAAGTTGAGCGAGGTTCTACTTTTACGCTTACGTGCCTAAGCACCGTGTTGTGTTTATAAAAATAGCGCTTCTACACCATACGGGTCAGGATGGCCGAGCGGTCTAAGGCGCCAGACTCAAGGTCATAAAACCTTCCTATTACGAAATGGGGGCGGGCGTTCTGGTCTCCGAATGGAGGCGTGGGTTCGAATCCCACTCCTGACAATAATTTTTTTCGTAATCCCAGACTATACTTTTTCTGTATTTTGATTATTTCAAAACGATTAGCCTTCCCTAAGGACAACCGACTACTAAAATAACTCTAAGGGTTCGTTTATATGGAGGTCGGGGACCCCAGATAGGTGAGGTCGCATGAGGTGGGTCACCCCACCTCTCATGTAAACTTGATCAGATTAAAACAAGAACGCTCTAACAGCGGTTTTCAATCCCGCTTGCTTGGAGATTAGATCGAGAAATGAGGAAGCGATTAATTCTACACGAAACAGGATTTACTCGCTAAAGGTTTTTTACTTCCTACTTTATAGACATCGATACTTTTTATTTGTTTCTGAACTGATTTAGTACGCTTGTTAGCGACGACGGGAAATACGTCTGCGGCCGCAGGCTATACGCGTGTATAAATACACGAAAATTCAAGGGCCTCGATTCCAGAGAAATTACATCATTGCCAGAGATAAAAAAAAGTGATTTACATGGCCTGTCATTTCAATCATCACCAAAAACAAACCGCACGCTCATCACAAGACCATTTGCATACAATGTAAGTTTACAACACCCGACAATCGCAGTTTTGCTAATTACGATTATTATTTTTTTCGACCACTCAGTAGTGTTCATTCGTTCCAAAGTAATCAACGCTTTCAAGCGATAGAATTTGTAGACCGAGTCGACCCGTTCCGGAAAAGCTCGATATGGCATTTCTATTCTATGGACATGAAATTCTGCAAGTAGAGTGCCTGATAGTCAAGTACAAAGCTACACGACGTATACAGCTATTTCGAGAAAGATTGTCGGAAAAAATGTGCACGCGACAATCCCGAAAGGTAATATGGGATATAATCAATACACTGTTCCTGACACTGTAGCAGTCGAACCTACCTTTAATTGTTGCTTTCCTTTAGCGGCGCGAACATATGTCCATGGTCTCTCGTACCATTCTTTCAAATTTCTTGAAGAACAGTGAACTCAACACCACCCACAATACCTTTCGGGATTGTCGCGTGCACTTCTTCCGACAACCTTTCTCGAAATAGCTGTAAACGTATCCGTGACATACGTAACATTGGGGCGGATTTCCACTGACGCCTATTTGGCTCCTCACGTAAACGCACGTAAATTTTAATCACGTAAATAAAATAAAGGCAAGATATAAAGTGTGGAGATAAAAGTTGAGCGAGGTTCTACTTTTACGCTTACGTGCCTAAGCACCGTGTTGTGTTTATAAAAATAGCGCTTCTACACCATACGGGTCAGGATGGCCGAGCGGTCTAAGGCGCCAGACTCAAGGTCATAAAACCTTCCTATTACGAAATGGGGGCGGGCGTTCTGGTCTCCGAATGGAGGCGTGGGTTCGAATCCCACTCCTAACAATAATTTTTTTCGTAATCCTAGACTATACTTTTTGTGTGTTTTGATAATTTCAAAACGATTAGCCTTCCCTAAGGACAACCGACTACTAAAATAACTCTAAGGGTTCGTTTATATGGAGGTCGGGGACCCCAGATAGGTGAGGTCGCATGAGGTGGGTCACCCCACCTCTCATGTAAACTTGATCAGATTAAAACAAGAACGCTCTAACAGCGGTTTTCAATCCCGCTTGCTTGGAGATAAGATCGAGAAATGAGGAAGCGATTAATTCTACACGAAACAGGATTTACTCGCTAAAGGTTTTTTACTGCCTACTTTATCGACATCGATACTTTTTATTTGTTTCTGAACTGATTTAGTACGCGTGTTAGCGACGACCGGAAATTCGTCTGCGGTCGCAGGCTATACGCGTGTATAAATACACGAAAATTCAAGGGCCTCGATTCCAGAGAAATTACATCATTGCCAGAGATAAAAAAAAGTGAGTTACATGGCCTGTCATTTCAATCATCACCAAAAACAAACCGCACGCTCATCACAAGATCATTTGCATACAATGTAAGTTTACAACACCCGACAATCGCAGTTTTGCTAATTGCGATTATTATTTTTTTCAGCCACTCAGTAGTGTTCATTCGTTCCAAAGTAATCAAAGCTTTCAAGCGATAGAATTTGTAGACCGAGTCGACCCGTTCCGGAAAAGCTCGATATGGCATTTCTATTCTATGGACATGAAATTCTCCAAGTAGAGTGCCTGATGGTCAAGTACAAAGCTACACGACGTATACAGCTATTTCGAGAAAGATTGTCGGAAAAAATGTGCACGCGACAATCCCGAAAGGTAATATGGGATATAATCAATACACTGTTCCTGACACTGTAGCAGTCGAACCTACCTTTAATTGTTGCTTTCCTTTAGCGGCGCGAACATATGTCCATGGTCTCTCGTACCATTCTTTCAAATTTCTTGAAGAACAGTGAACTCAACACCACCCACAATACCTTTCGGGATTGTCGCGTGCACTTCTTCCGACAACCTTTCTCGAAATAGCTGTAAACGTATCCGTGACATACGTAACATTAGGGTGGATTTCCACTGACGCCTATTTGGCCCCTCACGTTAACGCACGTAAATTTTAATCACGTAATTAAAATAAAGGCAAGATATAAAGTGTGGAGATAAAAGTTGAGCGAGGTTCTACTTTTACGCTTACGTGCCTAAGCGCCGTGTTTATAAAAATAGCGCTTCTACACCATACGGGTCAGGATGGCCGAGCGGTCTAAGGCGCCAGACTCAAGGTCATAAAACCTTCCCATTAAGAAATGGGGGCGGGCGTTCTGGTCTCCGAATGGAGGCGTGGGTTCGAATCCCACTCCTAACAATAATTTTTTTCGTAATCCTAGACTATACTTTTTGTGTGTTTTGATAATTTCAAAACGATTAGCCTTCCCTAAGGACAACCGACTACTAAAATAACTCTAAGGGTTCGTTTATATGGAGGTCGGGGACCCCAGATAGGTGAGGTCGCATGAGGTGGGTCACCCCACCTCTCATGTAAACTTGATCGGATTAAAACAAGAACGCTCTAACAGCGCTTTTCAATCTCGCTTGCTTGGAGATTAGATCGAGAAATGAGGAGGCGATTAATTCTACACGAAACAGGATTTACTCGCTAAAGGTTTTTTACAGCCTACTTTATCGACATCGATACTTTTTATTTGTTTCTGAATTGATTTAGTACGCGTGTTAGCGACGACCGGAAATTCGTCTGCGGTCGCAGCCTATACGCGTGTATAAATACACGAAAATTCAAGGGCCTCGATTCCAGAGAAATTACATCATTGCCAGAGATAAAAAAAAGTGATTTACATGGCCTGTCATTTCAATCATCACCAAAAACAAACCGCACGCTCATCACAAGACCATTTGCATACAATGTAAGTTTACAACACCCGACAATCGCAGTTTTGCTAATTGCGATTATTATTTTTTTCGACCACTCAGTAGTGTTCATTCGTTCCAAAGTAATCAACGCTTTCAAGCGATAGAATTTGTAGACCGAGTCGACCCGTTCCGGAAAAGCTCGATATGGCATTTCTATTCTATGGACATGAAATTCTGCACGTAGAGTGCCTGATTGTCAAGTACAAAGCTACACGACGTATACAGCTATTTCGAGAAAGATTGTCGGAAAAAATGTGCACGCGACAATCCCGAAAGGTAATATGGGATATAATCAATACACTGTTCCTGACACTGTAGCAGTCGAACCTACCTTTAATTGTTGCTTTCCTTTAGCGGCGCGAACATATGTCCATGGTCTCTCGTACCATTCTTTCAAATTTCTTGAAGAACAGTGAACTCAACACCACCCACAATACCTTTCGGGATTGTCGCGTGCACTTCTTCCGACAACCTTTCTCGAAATAGCTGTAAACGTATCCGTGACATACGTAACATTGGGGCGGATTTCCACTGACGCCTATTTGGCTCCTCACGTAAACGCACGTAAATTTTAATCACGTAAATAAAATAAAGGCAAGATATAAAGTGTGGAGATAAAAGTTGAGCGAGGTTCTACTTTTACGCTTACGTGCCTAAGCACCGTGTTTATAAAAATAGCGCTTCTACACCATACGGGTCAGGATGGCCGAGCGGTCTAAGGCGCCAGACTCAAGGTCATAAAACCTTCCCATTACGAAATGGGGGCGGGCGTTCTGGTCTCCGAATGGAGGCGTGGGTTCGAATCCCACTCCTGACAATAATTTTTTTCGTAATCCTAGACTATACTTTTTCTGTATTTTGATTATTTCAAAACGATTAGCCTTCCCTAAGCACAACCGACTACTAAAATAACTCTAAGGGTTCGTTTATATGGAGGTCGGGGACCCCAGATAGGTGAGGTCGCATGAGGTGGGTCACCCCACCTCTCATGTAAACTTGATCGGATTAAAACAAGAACGCTCTAACAGCGCTTTTCAATCTCGCTTGCTTGGAGATTAGATCGAGAAATGAGGAGGCGATTAATTCTACACGAAACAGGATTTACTCGCTAAAGGTTTTTTACAGCCTACTTTATCGACATCGATACTTTTTATTTGTTTCTGAATTGATTTAGTACGCGTGTTAGCGACGACCGGAAATTCGTCTGCGGTCGCAGCCTATACGCGTGTATAAATACACGAAAATTCAAGGGCCTCGATTCCAGAGAAATTACATCATTGCCAGAGATAAAAAAAAGTGATTTACATGGCCTGTCATTTCAATCATCACCAAAAACAAACCGCACGCTCATCACAAGACCATTTGCATACAATGTAAGTTTACAACACCCGACAATCGCAGTTTTGCTAATTGCGATTATTATTTTTTTCGACCACTCAGTAGTGTTCATTCGTTCCAAAGTAATCAACGCTTTCAAGCGATAGAATTTGTAGACCGAGTCGACCCGTTCCGGAAAAGCTCGATATGGCATTTCTATTCTATGGACATGAAATTCTGCACGTAGAGTGCCTGATTGTCAAGTACAAAGCTACACGACGTATACAGCTATTTCGAGAAAGATTGTCGGAAAAAATGTGCACGCGACAATCCCGAAAGGTAATATGGGATATAATCAATACACTGTTCCTGACACTGTAGCAGTCGAACCTACCTTTAATTGTTGCTTTCCTTTAGCGGCGCGAACATATGTCCATGGTCTCTCGTACCATTCTTTCAAATTTCTTGAAGAACAGTGAACTCAACACCACCCACAATACCTTTCGGGATTGTCGCGTGCACTTCTTCCGACAACCTTTCTCGAAATAGCTGTAAACGTATCCGTGACATACGTATCATTAGGGTGGATTTCCGCTGACGCCTATTTGGCTCCTCACGCTAACGCACGTAAATTTTAATCACGTAATTAAAATAAAGGCAAGATATAAAGTGTGGAGATAAAAGTTGAGCGAGGTTCTACTTTTACGCTTACGTGCCTAAGCGCCGTGTTTATAAAAATAGCACTTCTACACCATACGGGTCAGGATGGCCGAGCGGTCTAAGGCGCCAGACTCAAGGTCATAAAACCTTCCCATTACGAAATGGGAGCGGGCGTTCTGGTCTCCGAATGGAGGCGTGGGTTCGAATCCCACTCCTGACAATAATTTTTTTCGTAATCCTAGACTATACTTTTTGTGTATTTTGATAATTTCAAAACGATTAGCCTTCCCTAAGGACAACCGACTACTAAAATAACTCTAAGGGTTCGTTTATATGGAGGTCGGGGACCCCAGATAGGCGAGGTCGCATGAGGTGGGTCACCCCACCTCTCATGTAAACTTGATTAGATTAAAACAAGAACGCTCTAAGAACGGTTTTCAATCTCGCTTGCTTGGAGATAAGATCGAGAAATGAGGAGGCGATTAATTCTACACGAAACAGGATTTACTCGCTAAAGGTTTTTTACAGCCTACTTTATCGACATCGATACTTTTTATTTGTTTCTGAATTGATTTAGTACGCGTGTTAGCGACGACCGGAAATTCGTCTGCGGTCGCAGGCTATACGCGTGTATAAATACACGAAAATTCAAGGGCCTCGATTCCAGAGAAATTACATCATTGCCAGAGATAAAAAAAAGTGAGTTACATGGCCTGTCATTTCAATCATCACCAAAAACAAACCGCACGCTCATCACAAGATCATTTGCATACAATGTAAGTTTACAACACCCGACAATCGCAGTTTTGCTAATTGCGATTATTATTTTTTTCAGCCACTCAGTAGTGTTCATTCGGTCCAAAGTAATCAAAGCTTTCAAGCGATAGAATTTGTAGACCGAATCGACCCGTTCCGGAAAAGCTCGATATGGCATTTCTATTCTATGGACATGAAATTCTCCGAGTAGAGTGCCTGATGGTCAAGTACAAAGCTACACGACGTATAAACGTATCCGTGACATACGTAACATTAGGGTGGATTTCCACTGAGGCGTATTCGGCTCCTCGCCTTAATCGCACGTAAATTTCAATCACGTAAATAAAATAAAGGCAAGATATAAAGTGTGGAGATAAAAGTTGAGCGAGGTTCTACTTTTACGCTTACGTGCCTAAGCACCGTGTTTATAAAAATAGCGCTTCTACACCATACGGGTCAGGATGGCCGAGCGGTCTAAGGCGCCAGACTCAAGGTCATAAAACCTTCCCATTAAGAAATGGGGGCGGGCGTTCTGGTCTCCGAATGGAGGCGTGGGTTCGAATCCCACTCCTAACAATAATTTTTTTCGTAATCCTAGACTATACTTTTTGTGTGTTTTGATAATTTCAAAACGATTAGCCTTCCCTAAGGACAACCGACTACTAAAATAACTCTAAGGGTTCGTTTATATGGAGGTCGGGGACCCCAGATAGGTGAGGTCGCATGAGGTGGGTCACCCCACCTCTCATGTAAACTTGATCAGATTAAAACAAGAACGCTCTAACAGCGGTTTTCAATCTCGCTTGCTTGGAGATAAGATCGAGAAATGAGGAGGCGATTAATTCTACACGAAACAGGATTTACTCGCTAAAGGTTTTTTACAGCCTACTTTATAGACATCGATACTTTTTATTTGTTTCTGAACTGATTTAGTACGCGTGTTAGCGACGACCGGAAATTCGTCTGCGGTCGCAGGCTATACGCGTGTATAAATACACGAAAATTCAAGGGCCTCGATTCCAGAGAAATTACATCATTGCCAGAGATAAAAAAAAGTGAGTTACATGGCCTGTCATTTCAATCATCACCAAAAACAAACCGCACGCTCATCACAAGACCATTTGCATACAATGTAAGTTTACAACACCCGACAATCGCAGTTTTGCTAATTGCGATTATTATTTTTTTCGACCACTCAGTAGTGTTCATTCGTTCCAAAGTAATCAACGCTTTCAAGCGATAGAATTTGTAGACCGAGTCGACCCGTTCCGGAAAAGCTCGATATGGCATTTCTATTCTATGGACATGAAATTCTGCACGTAGAGTGCCTGATTGTCAAGTACAAAGCTACACGACGTATAAATGTATCCGTGACATACGTAACATTAGGGCGGATTTCCACTGACGCCTATTTGGCTCCTCACGTTAACGCACGTAAATTTTAATCACGTAAATAAAATAAAGGCAAGATATAAAGTGTGGAGATAAAAGTTGAGCGAGGTTCTACTTTTACGCTTACGTGCCTAAGCACCGTGTTTATAAAAATAGCGTTTCTACACCGTACGGGTCAGGATGGCCGAGCGGTCTAAGGCGCCAGACTCAAGGTCATAAAACCTTCCCATTACGAAATGGGGGCGGGCGTTCTGGTCTCCGAATGGAGGCGTGGGTTCGAATCCCACTCCTGACAATAATTTTTTTCGTAATCCCAGACTATACTTTTTCTGTATTTTGATTATTTCAAAACGATTAGCCTTCCCTAAGGACAACCGACTACTAAAATAACTCTAAGGGTTCGTTTATATGGAGGTCGGGGACCCCAGATAGGTGAGGTCGCATGAGGTGGGTCACCCCACCTCTCATGTAAACTTGATCAGATTAAAACAAGAACGCTCTAACAGCGCTTTTCAATCTCGCTTGCTTGGAGATTAGATCGAGAAATGAGGAGGCGATTAATTCTACACGAAACAGGATTTACTCGCTAAAGGTTTTTTACAGCCTACTTTATCGACATCGATACTTTTTATTTGTTTCTGAATTGATTTAGTACGCGTGTTAGCGACGACCGGAAATTCGTCTGCGGTCGCAGCCTATACGCGTGTATAAATACACGAAAATTCAAGGGCCTCGATTCCAGAGAAATTACATCATTGCCAGAGATAAAAAAAGTGATTTACATGGCCTGTCATTTCAATCATCACCAAAAACAAACCGCACGCTCATCACAAGACCATTTGTATACAATGTAAGTTTACAACACCCGACAATTGCAGTCTTGCTAATTACGATTATTATTTTTTTCGACCACTCAGTAGTGTTCATTCGTTCCAAAGCAATTAACACTTTCAAGCGATAGAATTTGTAGACCGAGTCGACCCGTTCCGGAAAAGCTCGATATGGAATTTCTATTCTATGGACATGAAATTCTGCAAGTAGAGTGCCTGATAGTCAAGTACAAAGCTACACGACGTATAAACATATCCGTGACGTACGTAACTTTAGGGTGGATTTCCACTGAGGCGTATTCGGCTCCTCGCCTTAATCGCACGTAAATTTCAATCACGTAAATAAAATAAAGGCAAGATATAAAGTGTGGAGATAAAAAGTGAAGTTGAGCGAGGTTCTACCTTTACGCTTACGTGCGACCTTTCAAAGATTGCCTCTATTTTATTTGCCAACGTAAATTTTAGGCACGTACGCACGTGAAAAATTACGCGACAGTGGAAATCAACAACCCCTAGACAGGTAGTTGAAGTTGCTTCCAGTAGCTAATACTTGATATCTACAACCGCAGTTCGAAATGAATTATTTCATATATACTTCACATCACTTGATATCTCAATTATTTATAATGTGCAACACGACTTCACATCTTAACAACTGCGAAAACCTATCAATTAAATGCATACAACAAAGTGAATCTACTTAACCGTAGAGTTGCAGTAAATGTGACGTTATTCTGAGAAACGTAACGCCTTGCAATACACCCCAAAACAGGATTTCTCCGCTATAATATTTTCTCATCCTACTCGGGGTATCTACTTTTTAATAATCGTACATGTCGTGCATAATTACACGGAAATCAAGGGCCTCGATTCGGGAAAAATTACTTCATTGCCAAACTTACATGCGTCATTTCAGTCATCGCCGAAAGTAAACCGCATGCTCATCGCGAGACTCATTTTCATACAATGAAAGTCGTCACGATTCTTATGCCCAGTTTCCACGGTCTCCGCAAGGAACGCCTGGCCTACAATTTAGGTCCCACACAAAAAAAAGAAGAAGAAAAGAAAAAAGAAACGCCTGCATTTTTATAGTCCGCTCTGCTGAAGCAAGCTCGACTAATAAGAATCTGTTTCAAATTTTAGGTTAAACATATTCTTATTTAGAGGGGGCTTAACTGGCAAATATTAGCCAAACAGGTTTTAAAAATCCAGGTTCTTAGTCGCGGGGCTTTACTGCATGTTCGAAATTGTACGGTTATTTTATTGGACAGAATTTTCGCAAATATCATATACATGTTTTGGTTTTTGGTAAATTTTCTTAAGATTCATTTGCCTTACAGGCTGTAAGGCATACGTTAATCTATCCAAAAAACGCCAAGTAAGGAGCGCCGGATTGTTTAAAGACTCCCCTGTAGAATTATCAGTTAGAACAATCTTACTAAATTCTCGATCGATGGACGTCAAATTCGAACGACAAGAAAGATAGCCACTTACCGGTAATTGAAAGGGCATCTGATTCAAATAAACAAAACTGGGGACCTCCTCTAAACCCACGGTTTGGGCCGTGATATCTAAACAGTCAAACAGCTCATAATTATTACTGAAATCAAGTCAATTATACTGCTATTTCTCATTTCTACGTCTGTTTTTGGAAAGAGATTTTAATTTCCTAAACACTTTTAGTAAAACTTTGTTATTTGGTACCGCGGCGATTGCGACAACAGGGTAAACAACTAGGTTAGGCTTTAGAATGTGCTCAGAGCCTTCGCTCAATTAACGAACACAAGTAGGCTCCAAGTAAGAATGACTTAAACATTGGCAACGTTCGGTGTTAAAATCTCGACTGTTGTTCGAAAAGATTCGGAACAGGGTTTGAAACTTGGGACAATTCGAAATGATTTCTGAGTCTGCCGTCACGCAGCGGCACATATGGGCAAGCGCATTAGAGTCCAAATGCAGAATACTGGCCACATAACGAAGAATTTCCCAGAGAGTTATATTTGAGCTGATTCTGCACGAAGCTCCATGCATCATATCATGCATACAAGCTTCCGCGTTGACTGAAATAGATGCTGCGGTGGTCCTGTATTAAGAAAGTTGAAGATACCACGACAGCGACGGCAGGGAAATAATAAAAAAAAGTGAATTCGCAGTTCTTTAATTGATCACAATTATTCCAACTCTAACACTGAATTTGTCAAAATCAGGGGAATTGTTCAGGAAATGAATTCTGAGGGGCTGAGAAAAAAGTTGTCGCCGTGTGGTAACGTCCGCTATAAATTGCGTCGTATTTAATAGGAGATTTCACGTCGTAGCCGCGCAGACTACAAATTAATTATTTAACGTTCTTGTTGCTGTCGCCGACTTCACCTCGTAAACTCCCTGATCTAAAATATAAAGACGATCGTTTAGTGCACATATATTAAAATACCCTGAATTACGGAAGTTTACCTTCTTCCTCCAGTTGGGATTTCAGATCGTCCGTTTCACGCTCTTTCCCTTCAGTCTTCACATCAACCATTGCAAACTCCTGTAATCGGAATAAATAGTAAGAGAAATTTAACCCCCGCGGCTAATCCGATGATTAATCACCTGACTGACTTGTTGTATAGATTGGCTAGTTACTCAGTCGCGGAAATTGGCTGACCAGCCAAATGTCCGAAAAATTCTCCTTCTGACAAGTCAACGTAGACTTGGCTCCGAATTCTACTTTATCTTCTCTGACAGGGTGCTAGATACGTGCTATGCCTGTTATAGGGACTTTAATTTTCCTTGACAAAATACCAATGTAATAATAAAGCTACCTATACTTGAACAATAAATAATATGAATATAAAAAATCTGTTTGCAAACTGCTTTAAAGAAAGCCGCACCTTTTGTACTGAAATAGCACCAATATTTGTGTAGGAGTGCGAACTGTTTCTTACTAAGGGCCTGTTTACATGGAGTGCGGGACCCCGGTCTAGTGGGGTTGGTTTCTTTTGTTTTCACACTCTAGGAGACACAGAACAAAAGAAACCTACCCCACTAGACCGGGGTCCCCCACTCCATGTAAACAGGGTCTAAGTCCTTTACTAACCCTGGATATTTCAAGTCGTCAATTTCCGCGCGACCTATTTAATTTCAGTCAGATGTCTCACGTATCCATTTTGGTGCGCTTTCGCTTAATTTTCTGCCGGTAAAAGCCAGGTATAAACGATCATAAAAACATCTAAGAGGAAGACATTGACGCGTTTAAAAAAAAATCTTCACTTTTAAGCCAAGCTCGAAAATGATTCAAGGTCGCAACGCTTTTGAAGGTACAGTGAAACCGAAGCTCTCTTAACGGGCACTCTCGTAAGGAGACAGCTCTACTTACGTACTTACGGCCGCTATCCCATAAAACTCTGCATTTTTATAAACATTACTTTACCAAAACAGCAAAAACAAAAGCGACTTTAGGTTTTCCGATATTTCGGAAATGAAAAAGCACCTCAAACACACCAGCGGAATACATCGAACAGGCAAAACAAAACCGCAGAGCGATACAAAATAACACTGACGACGCAGTGCCACAGCATTTCAATCAACCCGCATGCACCAACTTTCAGACGTCAGGGGCACCCAACGGCAATTTTCGGGAAAATATCTGTTCGGAAGACGATTTGAGAACTAGAATTTTCGGAGCATTTGTTGTAAAATTTCTTGCTTGTCTGCCTCTCCTAGGATTTTCGAACATCTACAAAATAGTATAATTACCCATTTTAAACGGATATTTACCCCAAAAAAGGCCACCTAGAATTTTCGGGAGCCTTTTCCCGGCTGAAATTTTCGAAATGGTAAGTTTTCATCCGTATAATTTTCGGATCACTAGACTTTCAGCTAGGAAATCCGAACAGATGAAAAGTTTTTAGGGGATAAAAATATGCCTATCTCTACCCTTTAAATACTAAAATACGTTCAACAATGCTATGTTAAGTGGTTTTGAACTATATCCTCGTTGGGTGCCCCTGAGACGTGGAACTTACTGAAAACCAAAAGAGAATCCTAACGTTTTTACATTAAACTATGCCGCCACAGGGAATAAACAGAGAGGACGACGACCGTTCAATCATTTATTTACTTATTTATTTCATCATTGATTTTCATAATTTTATATTTCATTTTATTTATTAATATATTATTATTATTTTCTGTTAATTAAATAATGTCACTTTTGAACGAATTTTTACCATTATTAATATTGGCCCATTTAGTTTTTGAACATTACCTTTGTATCAAATTTCCAACTGCTCCTCGTCTATACTATTTAAATTGTAACGACGTTTCGATTCTTCATGAAATCCCAATCCCCTGAAGAAGGACGGCTTGTCCGTCCGAAATATCACGAAAGCTCAAGTCGCTTTTGCCTTAAAATAAATAACCTGTTCTAGGCTCTCAGATAGTGACGAAGGCGCGAAAGTGAAAGGCGCGCGAAAAGGGCGTCGAGCTGGAAAAAGGGAAAAAGGAAGGGAGAGAGAGCCTGTCGTCATTTCTTCTACGACCCTCTTCCGCCCACTTTTGGCACCTTTGAGATAATTAGATTTTGGCTGTCAAACTGTTGATGTGTTAACGACTTGGAATCTTCCTCAAATTTCTCGCCGCCCTTCCTCCTCCCAGTTTCCTGCCGTTTTTTTTTTCGAGTTCGCGCTTTCTCAACTCCGCGGATCCGACTATCTCGGAAGGCCAACACTTTAAGGGTTTAAGAAATAGACGTTAGCTTTGTTTAAAAGCTCGCGCAAACGGACAACCGAAATAAAATCTTATTCGCCTCTGAATGTTTTTTTTTTTTTTTTTTTTTTCATATCGCTGTTTGTGACATTAAATCATTCGCATATATCCGTTTAAGAGTTACTTTTGTTTTTACACTCCGGTTACACTTCAAAATAATAATAAAAATGCTTGCGCCTAGACTACAACGTGATCAGAACACCCCAGTATAACCAAACACTAACAAACAGGTTTTTTTTTTGCATTTCCAGTATTTATTTGTAGCTGAGCTAGCTCCCGCAAGCGGCAATCTAGCTTTTGCACCTCCAGTGGCCGCATATCAGAACCATTCTGGTAAGAGGCCTGGCCGAGGGTGTCCGCACACGAGAGCTTCCACTGTGGTACGAACCCAGGTAGAGATGTGTAAAAGAAACTGAGGGCCTTCGTAATAAAAATATATCAGAGGGGAAAAACAACATTCGCTTACCAGATTTGTAACCACAACAGCCACAACGAGGTTAGCAAATACAAACGCGCCAATAGCTATGAACACAAGAAGAAACAGCCCTCCGCCGACATAATAATTCTCTCCGACATCCTGTGGAAAAAAATTGTGTATGGCGGAGCGTTACATTATAAAAGAATAAACAATAATTGACTTTACAGGGGTAACAAAATTACTGGTAATCTAGTGGGTCACGTTGAGATAAACAAGTAACGACGAAAGAAGGATCAGTCCCCTCTGGACGAACAAACTCCAGTGGGTTATTTACAAGCATGACCAAGGAAATGAACTCGGGACTACGGAGAACAAATCCAGCAAGTGACCAAGATCAAGATCAGGCAAAGATCTTGTGAATCACATAAACTGCGAGTGACACTCCGCCAGTCGCCCCTCGCGTTTGTCACAGTAAGCAATTGTAAATTTTTTTCTTTTTTTTTCGCCCCAAATTTTGTTCTAACTTCAAGTGATCCCTAACACACACATAACTTTTTATTTTATTTGTTTTTTGTCCTCTTATTCATCATTTTTTTCTTTTCAAAAGTCTAAGTGATAAAGAAAGAGAAGAAGAATAGTGCGCGTGGAGGCTATATTATAACTAAGGCTAGGAAATACTTGTCCGAAATAACAAATCCACCTGATTGTTCTACCTGAAAAGCTTGAAAAATTTCCATCCAGCCGTCTTGAGTAAGACAAACGAACAGGTAAAACATAGCTGCACCACGGTTAAGGATCAGGACAAAAGCAGGTAGATGACTTAACACTTACGATCATGAAATAGCTTATTGCTGGTTTTCACTGTCACGCCAGCAAAACAAAAAACCAAAAGTGAATGTCACTTATATTCAATCACTGAGAAAACAGCTTAGTCCAAAGTAAAAGATACGAACTGAAAATAAAAGAAACTTAATTGGGCAGGACCGAAAGAAGTCTAACAGACTTATAGCCAGGTAGTGAGGGCACAACAGCTTTTTACCATATTTATTAACATAGTTGTCAGCGTGTGGAAACTTTTGTATTACAGACCAAATATCCGTGCTTACAAAGGCTGTAAATGCATGAATAGTGATCCGATCGTAAAGCGCTTCATCTTCGGAATTCACGGCACGCACATCTACCATGTAAATCAGAGATACGATAGTCGCTTGATTTCCTCAGGGGAGAGATTATCCTGAATTCTTTGAATAACATATGCAAGAAAGACTTCAAAGCAGGACAGCTCTACACTTTTGGCTAAGTTTTTTACATTTTAGACCATACTGCTCTACAACATATGGAGTATTTGAAAAAATGCAATTAACAATTGGCCGACTTATCTTTGGGAAGCTTCAGACTAAAAATGCGCAGATTTCAGCCCATTTATAATAGACTAAAAAAGTATATTTAATAATAAAACCTTTATTATCTTCTTGCAAGCCTCTGTCACGCTTAGCGTTGCATTAACATCTACTTCACAAACTGACCTTTGCATCTTAATTTGACAATGTATTCTGAGGTCGAGAGGTTGTTTAATAACATGGCCTTACGCTCTAAAATTTCGAAATCAGTTTATTTCATAAAGAAATTACGATGCCTTTCACTTCGATCCTTACGTTTAGACTACTAAAAATAGAAAACTGGGGAAAAAGAGATTCAATCAGACGACCAGTCCGATTCTTGAATATTAATCTCATTAATATGACACGGCACGGCTAAGAACGGTACTTGAGAAGTCGTCCTATTTCGGCAGATTTCAGCTATATACATTTTGTTATTATTTTGAACCTGAATCATTTGTTGCATGGACCTTAGTTGGTGTATCAATATGACTGACTCCTGATTGTATATCTAGTGGTTTATGCAAGTAAGTAAAGAAAAATTATATTAGAATGAACTGCCTGTTCCCAAAACAACATTCTCAGTCTGTTTGATGTTGTGTTTAGGCGATGCGTTGAGGTGAAACTAAGACATCTTTTAACTTTCTTGAATCCCATCCACGGACATTTCATGTGCTGCGTTCAACAAGTGTACTAAAAAAGCTCAAATGCTTTAGCCTTGCGCTAAGCTTTGTCCGGTTTAACAGCAATCAAAACTGAAAACAAATCGTTTTCTTCAGGAGGACACTTGATTTTTCCACAACCTTCAGTCGAATATAGATCGTAGAATCTTGCCAGCCTTGTATCCGTGGCAAGCTGCCGATCAAACACGCCATGTGTAGCTGACCAGAAAAAAGAACGAAGGTGGTCGGCACTCTCAAACTCGAAATGTGGACCTTCAATATGGCAGCTTTTTAGAATGCTAAATCCAGCAGCTGCACATATCCGCTCGATTTCTGCCATAGACTCAAACTTAAACATATCAAGCAGACGATCCCAATTTTCTCCATTGAGCTCGCGAAAACCGCGGACAAAGAAAGTGGGCAAGTGCTCGATATACAGCGCGGTGATTTTTCCCGTTGGTTTGAGACCTCTGAACATGTTCTTGAAAGCCTCTTCTTTATTCTGAACCCAGTGAAGCACTCCAAAGGAATAAATGATATCATAGGTTCCCGAATCCATACCAGGAAAATTCGAACTGCTTCCTTCGACAAATGAGAGATTTTTAATTCCCTTGTAGGATTCTTGAGCCACTTTTAAACGCTGCTTGTCAGGATCAACTCCCAAAACTTTACCTTCTTGTCCAACAAGCTCGGCAAGATAAGCAGAGACCGCACCAGTTCCACAGCCTAAATCCAAAATTACATCTCCTTTACACGGTTTGACTTCATTTTGAACGAATTGTTTACCTCTTTCTCTAATTGGGGTTGAATTTTGCTGAAAGCTCTCCGCTGCCTTGTCGCTTGACATTTCACAACAAGACAAATTACCGATTCTAGTTTTGCTGAAGCGACGACGCTGATCGTGGACTTCCTTCTTGCGTGATGCTATGTCTGAGTGCCAGTATCGACCCCAGATCTCTTCTCGTTTCTTCAGACAGCAAGATCTGGGACTGGTTGCATAAAACAGTCTGAAGATAAGAGGACCCTTAAATATTGTTCTGGAATAATAACCTATTATTTTGAATCAATACTAACGAGTTCTCGTAATCATAAAATGCTTTATGCAACCAGGACCAAAAAGATTTTTGAAAAAGTTCACACATTTTAATTATAAATGAAATTGTTACCGTAAAAATTCGGTATAAAAACAGTTCATTAGGGTTTTGGGCAGGCATATATCAGAGGGGGGGAGGGGGCGGATGGCTTGCACAATAATGATAATAAAAGACGTCTAGAAACAAACTTATAAAGGCACACTTTATCTTACTCCAAGACGAAATTCAACACTGTTGTAACATTAACTGTAAACGGGTAATAACAAAACAACATGTACACAGTTGCATACAGATGGATCTTTTGCCCGAGGGGGTGGCGGGGGGATGGGGGAGTTCCTTATATTGAAGCAGGGGTGCTGAAAACCGGAAAAAATTCCTCTGCAAAAATAAATGGGCTTGTAACCGGGACGAGGGGTTATAGGCGTGAAAGCTTAAAACATGGATATTACCTGACGATGACGTTCTGCTCTGATACACCTTTCGGGGGAATTAATTGAATTGTAGTAACACAAACAAGAACTCTTTGGAGATTGAGCAGATCAGGACAATGGGAATGACAAAAGGATACAGCTGGACAGATTTCCAAAATATTTCGGTACAACGTCTCTGAACAGGGTGACACCAATCACAGAAAACACTAACATGATTATCACCAATAATAAAACAATATTGGCCATGTCTGCAGACAGAACAACAAATAATCATTAACACAATATTGGACATGACTGCAGAGAGAATAATTACCTAATGTAAAACAAAACCAATAATGGCCATGCCTGCAAAAAGAACACCAAACAGTCTCCAACAGCAAAACCAAATTGGCCATGTCTGCACAGAGAACAACAATTAATAAACCTTTACATTGTATGGAACAGGCTTTTATAGAGAGGAAAAGTGTGACGTCACGTTACCATGGTAGCACTATTTCGGGATGACAACAAAACCAACGACGACGGCGACGGCAAGGAGAACGGCAAAAAATAATATGTTTATATTAAGAAACAACAACTTTGCACGTGCATCACGCTATTTGTACATTTCTTTGCCGTTGTTGCACCACTACGACATGAAACTTTCTAATTTCACCAGCCCACTTTATTGAGTAGGTGAACACAACTCCAAAACTGTCGCTTTCTTTTTCTAAACTTAGATAACGATAGATACGGTTCCAAAGAAAATTTCGCCAAGATTTGCCAAATAAAATGAAATTGAATAAGATCGGTGAAGTTTGAAATAGTGCGAATAGACTTTTAAGTCACTTTATCGGTTTGTTGTCATCCAAAAATTTTTGTTTCATGGCAACGTGACGTAACGACTTCGCCTCTCTATTTCCAACAAGTTAAAGAGCAGGGCCGAGTTGTTCAAAGCTGGGTTAAGCTAACCCAGGGTTAGTGCGAGATTTGAATTCAGATTTGAAAGCTTAAAAAGCAGTTCAGGTGTAATTCTTTTGGTCTACAAGTTGATCATTGGAAGCTCTAAAAATAATGGAGAAAATTATCCGAGAAAATGCTTTTGAACACAAGAAGAAACCCGGGTTAAGCGCTCATCGGCCTTCGAAAAACCGGGCCTAGGTCGCTGAGGCGGAACAGGAGGTCATTATTACGAATAATAACCTGCTGTTTCACTTTTGTGGCCACAACAATGATTTGCTGGTTCTAAAACAAAGGAAAGGTGCATTAGATCGAACAATGCCCTCGCTCCTTGGCCTTCTAAAAAATAATAATTTTCAAAAAGGCCTCAGATCTCAGGCATTATCCTAAATATAATCATTAACAAAACAATATTGTCCATAATCACAGATAGACAATTAGAAGGCAACTAGAAAGTTCTATACAAAATGATCAGAATGAGAAGTCGATCAGGTGTAACGTCCGTCACCAAACACTCCAAAATTCCAATTCCACCCGAGAAAAATCAAGAAATAATAATCTCAAACAAGTGAGTGTGAGCCGTTGTAATAAACTCATCGAAAATGAAGTTCTGCATTTTATTCATACGCTGTTTGGGCCTTGGTATTTACAGACAAAATCCCGTTATTTTCTTGCGTCTTGATGGCTGGTGCGCGCTATTTGGCAAGAAATGGTAAACTAGAAGGCTGTTATTAGCTAAACTAACCTGGGACTGACTGTAGAATAGTCTGAACAACAATCTGTAAGCCAGGCAGCGAACTGATGCTACAAAAAAGATAAAACTGAATGTTGGTTGAGGAGAAGAAAACATGCGTGCGCATGGACCGTGCCAGAAATCACACCAGCTTTGATTCACAGACTTCACCGAAGTATTGACAGGAGGGTTACTCGTTAATGAATGAAATCATTTCATCATCATCATCATGCTTGGACCACCGTAGTGGACGGGACATTCCTGGAGATTTCTTATCAAAGACCAAGATTCGCCATCGCTGTACTTAGTCCCTGGTATTCAAGTCCTGAATCCTTAGCAATCACTTCAGGGTATCTTAGGTTACGTGAATGCAATTAATCAGGTTGAGGGGGAACACGAAAAATACTGATCATGCGATGGATTTAATGTATAGCTTTGGACAGTTTAAGAACAAAGAGAAATTAATTCATTGCCTCTCTAACACTAACTACTCTATATAGAAGGACTTCTCTACCTTCTTAGACTACGAAAAGCTCTTAACACCCTGAGAATCCTCAGCACTCCTCGACTTCCTGATCCTGTGCTAAGTACTGTAATAATATGTCAACATCAAGACAAAAAACTTCCTACACACCTAACCCCCCCCTCCTCCCAGTGGATGTAATGTTCGCCCTGTAGCTGGTTTTTTAAACTCAAGATAATAAAGATTTAAGATTCTAGGACAAGGGTGACTGCAAGTACGACATTTTCCCAATAGTAAATAATGAGCACGCGAGAACCAGCGTCATTTTGGAGGCAAATGTGTTACCCGACGACATTCTCCTACCTTTTTTGGCGAGAATGTCGTAGTGGCGAAAATACGTTTACCAAATGTTAAAAGTCTTATCATTTTGCGATCGAAAGAGGGCTTAACCTCCTGTAATAAAAATGACCGTGCAAACTTTTTTGGTGCAAAAAGCACAATGAAACGTCTCGGAGGGTCTCTCTCTCTCTCTTTTTTTTTTTTTCAGAATACGCAAAAAAACCCTAGGTTACATCTCGTCCTCGTAGTCGGCCTCGTTCTAGAATCTTAAGGTCTCTAGTGAAGAATTATTCGCTACGTCGTATGGACACGGAGGTGACCGCATGTTTTGGTATATACTAACTACACTGGAGAGTAGATAGTGGCCCTATAATTACTTTGAGTTTTTAATCACATTCTGGTGATTATCCTATACTCTGTATATCACTCTGCAAAGTTCATAAAATGGTCGCTGATGGGGGAAACGTTAAAATAACGCATTTAACTGGAAATCTTGAGTTCCAGGATGCGACACAGATCAAGAAGCCAAGGTCGCAGAACTCAGCCGTATTGTATTCTGGTAATAAAAACACGCGTGTGCACGTTTTATTACCAGAATATCTATATATAGTGAAGTTTTCATAGTGGGTTAAGTTATAATAGATATGGGAGTCGGAGAGGATCTGTAGATACATGGAACTCAGTCTTAAAAGTTAACATACTCACAGGGTCCAAGAAGAAGAGCTACCACGATAAAGAAATCCAAGACATTCCATCCCATCTTCCAGAACATGAAAAAGCCATGATACCATTTGACGAGAATCTCACACACAAAGATGGTCATAAGACACTGGTCCAACACAGAAAACAAGTGGCTGTATTTCTGTTCCTGTCAAATCCGAGATAACCTCTGTTGTTACAAATATCATAACAATGTGATGTTGTAGGAATGGTTTATTAAGCTGTCAGCCCCCCTGAAATGTTTTGAGCGAATCTTCCAAAGCCATTGATAATTCATAAAGAAAAAACAAAATAAATTAATGTTTAATGAGTGCCTTTATATTTGATAAAGAGACGGTTAAACTTTACGTCCAATTAATTTTATTAGACCAAAATAACCCCAAATCTACCTATTAGTCCAAAAATGAGTTGACCTACGTATATCAGAGATTTTGAAGCCGTTCAATAAAACTCGCAGTCGTGTATCGCCATCGATGAATCCCTTTGCGACACTTTCCTCGACAAAAACACCAAATAAACAATTCAGTTTTGAAAAACAGGAAAAGAACCTTGACCGTAGTTGTATTTCATTTTGTGGCGGCAGTACAAGAACACGATAATGTAAAAACATAACTGAACTTAAAAAAAAGGCTTAAGTTGTCGGCAAGTAGTCTGCTGGCAAACAAATTTCTAGATGCTGCATAAATTGTCACGCATCAATTCACCTGTCAATAGTTTGACTAGGGGTCGTGTGACAAAAGCGTGACCAAGCAAAAAGCAAAGCCTTAGAAATTTATTTCCGAAAATTTTGTCGTAAATTTTTACTCGAGCAACTCCGTTGGTTGCTTCTAAAATGGTTGATTTTGCGCCAAAAACGAAACGCAACGTCAATGTCCGGGATTCCCTTCACTACCCCCGGAGAGTGTACGGGCGGATGGGCGGGCGTAAGCTGATGATACAACCAAATTTTCTGGCATCGATAGGTTTCCATTTTCTTCCAGGTATGGGTCTCCGCTTCGCAAGCTTCGCGCGCGCGGATGCTCTGCTATATGAAAGCTTCATCTAAAAGCTTAACGGTACATCTGAATGTCACTTACCAGTTCCTGATCTGTTTCAACAGCTATCAATATACTGTTAAATAAGATAACACACAGGATTCCAGTCCTAAATACTGTGTTAGACAAAAACTGTCCCAGTAGTTCATTTGAGGCATACTCCTCGATCGCCTCATCATCTAAATCAACGATGTCCCACATGTTTTCTTCTTCTTTCTCTTTGGACATGAGTAGCTCCTCTTTCTATATAAGATAACATGACAACATAACATAAAATAACAGAAATCAATTTATAAACTACAACTGTCGTATTTTCCAACAGATTTTTTTAAAAAATTCCAACAGGTAAATGTGACGGCTATATGCATCAAGGGCACCCAACGACTGTTTTCTGTAAAATATCTGTTCGGAAATGCAAACATTGCCGAGAAATTTCTATTACTTGCGGACGGCTAAACAGTTCTACATGACAGTTCCATTCATGTGCAATTTTTCAAGCTTATCTAATAAATTCCCAACGATTTTCTGAAGTTTAACTTTTCACATTTCACTCCCCTGATAAGGCTATTGACGTAGGAAAAAGGTAACCTAACATTTTCGAATTCAAAAATATGATGGAGAGAGGAATAAAAATACTTCTCACTTTCGTAATACGCCAATTTGCATAAAAAATTTCGGGAAAATAATACCAAAGCCCTTGTAACTTCGAAAATACTCAAGATCACCTAGGATGACCGAACAGATACAAATTTTATAGCGCCGCTCAAAATGCATATCTAGAGACCTAGAAGCACTCTGGATAGCCTAAAAAGTGTTTTCAATGTATTTAGGAGGAAACCCTCGTTGGGTGCCTCTGAAGCATATGCGGTTACGAATCCACCAGGTTCATACATGATGATACATGCACAAAACAAAAGAAAAAGAGATAAGAAAGGTGTATAAAAAACGTAGTTTAAACACTTTTTACTTTCTGTACTAGTATAGTGACTCTCCCTCCTTTACCGTGAAGGAACAAAACTGCTAGCTGCGCAGGTTTTTTATTGGCCAAAATGGTTCCCATCTTTGATTGTATTTTAACCACATGTGTGTTACACAAAAGTTACCTCATTTTGAATTGCATGGAACACTGCATGAAATTCTTTTTCCCTATAAACAAAGACACACTTTTTACCGTTTATTTTTAAAACTAAGTACTAAGTAACATGAAATAGGAAGAAAAGATTTATTTTCAAGGGAGAAAAAAAACTTGTAACCTTCAGGTACTTGAAAGCATTAAAAAGTTACAAAAACCTCTAGCTTAGATAATAATATTCTCAACTAAAACAAATTCCACTCTCGCCTTGCGGACACCCTGATAATTCGGACAACAGCTAAATCCCAGGCAAAAATTAATTTACAGATCTATTTTTGACTGAAATAAACTAACTCAAGGTCCCGGCTATGGTGTCCGCTATAAAGAGAGTTGATTATACCTATAAAATAAATTAATATATATATAAATTGAGCATAACGATTAAAAGAAAAGTATTCGCAGGTTCCAGCTGTACTTTCAATATATTAATCAAACTATTTTCAGTGATGACAAATTTGACAGATATCCCCAGATGGGATCCGGGCTTGCAAATTCCCTTCCACTCAACTTACTCTTAACAGCTTCAAGAACGCTATCTATTGTTGTTAAAAATATATATTGCAGTTTTCCCTGATTTAGCTGCAGGCTTTGAAGGATAAACCACTTCCTGTCCAGTGACGGAAGCCACACAAGAGTTGTTAGGGAAATATTACGACTCCTTAAGTATCATAATTAACAATTTCTTTAACCTATAAATTTTAACATGAATATCACTTTGATAAGTCTAGCTGCTTAAAAAAAAACAGTGTTTCAATCAAATTACTATACAAAAGAGGGCAGTCAGTCCAGATTCAAACATGTAGCATGCTTCTCATTATTTGCACATTTAACTTTTCCAATAAATTCATTACCTTTACCTTAGCCTGTCAGGGCAAAGAATAATTACCTTTTCTCTTCCTCTCTATTAGGTTCAGAAGCACTTTTCAACATAGAGGCCACTTTAAGCCTCAAACGTACTCTGTCAACAGTCTAAAAAAATTAAAATTCATGACAATTAGTGAAAATGAAGGAAATTAAAGAAACTTTGATAATTTCACTTTCATATTTAATGCCCGTAGCTTGGTTGACTTCGCACTTCGCATAGAAACCGCAGAGTATATTTGGGTCCAGGGTAAATTAAGAGAGGGTTTTTCAATTTTATTTTTCGAATTGCCTTGTACTGGTACCTTAATCTCTCATTGACCCCAACCCCCACCCCCTTAACCATTTTGTGAATTGATTGACTACTTCACAGATCTTTGTTCCATCATTTGTTTCGTTTTAAGGTAGTTACTCCAGGTTATCACTAAGATTGCAAGTTGCCGCCGGGGGAATCTTGTTCATAATACCCCCCTGTGGCCTTTAGTAACAGACCTGTAGTTACATATTCTAAGTCAAAGGGGATCTTGGCAAACTCTACTATTGTTTCTCTCTAATATTAATGTCAGACTTCAATAATCTACGTTGAGGGAAACCAACATTTTCATCTGTTAAAATACATTCTATTTTAACAGATGAAAATTCATACCATCTGTGTTGCTCCATGCCAATTCTCCCTTTACCATCTGATATGTATGCATGTCAACCTTCATGTGCCGGCAAACACCTCCCATTAAAGGAACCACCACCCAAAACACTAAAATGTTCCCAATCAAAGCCTTATTAAGCTGGAACCTCTTGTAAGTGACCATGTATTAAGTAAGTGACCTGCGCCACCACTTTTGGGGGTGACAGACTCAGGGATGTCAAAAGTAGCCGGCTGCCGGCGAAAATCGCCTACTACGTGGTTAGTATCAGCCAGCTACTCTTCATGGCATTTCTTTATGGATGGCATTTCTTAAATAAAATATCCCTGGACAGGCCGCTAATACTTTGACAACTCAGCCATCTACTTCAAAACTTTCTGACAACCCTGCAGACTATGTATTGTCTGTTTGTAAGCAACCACCTGATGCCTATGTACTATGCTACTCAGAGTATGCAGGCTGTGACTCTAAAATGTTAAGTTGCCGCATTAATGCAATTAGTATACAGTGCTCAGGGAAGTACTTTTGGTCTTATTTTCCTTTTGCTTCCTAAAGAGTAGCCAGGGCTCACACTCATAGAAGCCAGTGAAAATCACCAGCCCCTGGCTCTTAGTGACAGCCCTGGTATGTGGAGAACTTTATGGATCAATGTGTAAAATTCAACACCAAAAGAATCTCTTGTCTAGAAAGACTCCTGCGTAGTTTGCCTCTCATGAGAGAAAACCTCCTGTTAGCAACCACCAAATCTTTACATTTTGGGTGGCCACTTACGAAGGTTTAACTGTATAACAACACCAACAAACAGAACATTTTACTGACACTTTTGAGTGAACTGGCCATTGATTTTTCCTCTGCTTTGTCAGGTGCCGCTATGTCATCTGAGACTTTGCCTTCATCCTGTACACCCCCAGTTAGTCTATTCACATTAAGGACTTGCTTTACTCCCTAAGAAATGTTTCAATAAAATATCTGAGTTAAATATGAGGAGAATAAAGCATGTCAACAACAACACCGATTTGTTATTACTTTCAAAATAAATAACAGGAAAACTCCACCACAAAATAATAGTAATGAACTAATGCAGGTAAGTCAAACACACACAAGACACACAAGCAAGCCACAAAACCACAAACAAATACTGTTGGTGCTTGCAGTTGTAAGGTTTCCCATCCCTGATTGGTGTTTTCCTGGCAAGACAATAACATTTCAGGAATATTTCTGGTATTCACACTTTTCTGATGTTCGATCACAGTAAGAGGAACAAAAGATCAGGAACAGGAAAAAGGAAAGGAAAGAGTTGGAAATGCTACAATTCTAACTATAGTATAATTATGAATTGAATCTGTATTCAAATGAATTCAGTGAGAAGCTAAGATCATCAATATTACTGAAAATAACACCCCGTTCACAACAATCCAGATGTTTTTAAAACTGCATATTTTTACACAAATTGGTATTTTGTCTACACCAAAACTGCATCTTTTTTAAACTGCTCTCCAGAGTGTTTTCTTAAGGATCTGACACATTTTTGAATTCATGACGACAACTGAAACCAGATATTTTGGGATTCAATTAATTACGTGGTTTTGGCTTGGTTGGATTCAGGTGGACAGGGCATGACTTACCTTCCTGAATTTTGCATTCATCTTTACAGTTCAGACTTTCCAGATATGGAAAAGAAAATAGTTAAGATCATCACGGTTACAAAAATATTGATTCGGATTGGTTCATATGAATCATCCCTAATATGTTTTTTTGGGATCTGGAGTATTGGGATCGTAAAGCAAAATAGGGGCGAGCAGGGGTTTCAATAAGCACCGATGACTGAAGAAACACGTCGGTTATTTTGCTCAGAGAAGTCAGTTACTTTTCTCCCCGAAAGAAGAAGCAACTAGTGCTTATGATGTTGTAAACAAATAACATATCATTAAATCTGAATGAAAACGTAAAGGCCCACTGGTTTTGAGTTATGCTCTAGTTACATAAATGCTGTATGTCAGTCAATTCTTCACACATTTCTTTGGAGGTTTTCACAGAAGTTGTGTGGCTGATAATCAGAACCTGAATGAAAGTTTTTCTCGAATGAAAAACACACTCTTTTGTAATCAATTTAGTCCCCATAATGGTGGAAATCACATTTTAGGGCTTTAAAATTTCAAAATTTTCTGAGGAAGCATGCCCCCAGACCTTTCTAGAGGCACTGGATTAACGCCCCCTTGTTGATACAGTCGGGTACTCTGTTAAAACCTTCTTGCTACTTCAATGAATTAATATTGAAACCCCTGGGCGAGACACGGGAATCCAAAGTATACACAGGATTGGGGATGCCAAACAAAACAATCAGGATATACAGTGGGATTGAGTGAAAATTTGAATCAAGATTGACAGGAAAGAAGAACCCTATTGAGGACCCTCTATTAAAACATTTTCGTAAACTTACCCACGAAAAAATTACAGTAATAACGTCAACAGGCTTTTTGCAATGGTTAATCACATCACATGATCAACTTTTAGTAAACACGAAAACAGTTCACTTTTGAAAAAATTTGTTATTAGCACGAGCTGAAAGAGCACATTAAAATTAGGTAACCTGTAAATTTTCAGCTGTATATCTCAAAAGTAGCAATTGGAAAATTAGAAGGATTTGTATCAGATTAACAACTTTTGCCACCCATTCATGCTTGAATAGTCTTCCATACAAATCCTTTTAAAATTTCGAAATTTTCATACTGTCGTGAAATATTTCATTAAGCATTACTGGGCTCAAATCTCCTTTTAATTCATAATGGGCAATTTGAGAACTTAAACGTATAAGGGAAAGATTAAATGACAGCTTAGAAATTTCTGAATTTACAAGGATTAGTATGGAAAACCACTCAAGCATGAATGACTGGCCGTTGCAAGAGCTTTTTTTCTGAATAGTTACAGGTTTTTCGGCGGCCGTTGCAATCGCAAACTGTTTTTTGAGGAAGGTGATATGGCCAACTAAAAAGCCTATTACAGGTTACATGAGATATTTCGGCAATTTATGCAGTGGTATTTCAGCTTAATTTGAAATACCTCACGAAACCTTTTTCGGGTAGTAATAAACAAATAAAACTGTTTTTGTATTTTAAACACCGCTCGTGATATTTCAAAATTTGTCACAAATTTCATGTGACATATAACAAATGCGAAAAAAGGCCTATTAAGCCAAATATCCATACAAATCTTGATACCAGTACAAATCTTGATACTAGTCAAAATGCCACAACTCTCAACTCTCAGCAACTCTCCATCTCGTGATGGCCTCTGATAAGTGCATTTGGGTTTTGCTATAAACTACTGCTAACGACGATGCCCACAGACGTTTTTTAAAAACTTGCCGTGGGAGACAAGAAAATCGCAAACCATTTTAGCAATACGACAAAGCGTAACACAGACCTTGAGCACAAAAAGGCTGAAAAATAACGTACAATGCAGGCGGAGTTGCTGATCGGGAAGATCAGTCCGCAAAACACTCCCTGAAAAACGCAAGTGTAAGCTGGCTGTAACGCCATTTAATAATAACCTCATATCAGCTCACCTCAAAACCTTGCAAATAAGCAATCAGCAAAATAAAACAGCGAGAAAAATCCTCCTGAAACCTGGCACTTAGAACAAAGATGGCATTTTTCAAGAGAAATGTGTGAAAAATAGAAATATGGCGCCTTAACGACACAACGTTATCAGCCAATCGTTGTGGATTAAGCTTCAAGTACGCCTTCTGGTAATGTCCCTTCAGAAAAATAATCTGTAGCCTGCGAGGGCATCCGGTTCTTTCGGCTCTAGCAACGATGAGTAAGGGAGGAGGGAGAGAAGCGACGACCGGAAATACGTGTGCGTTTCGTAGGCTACACGAAGGAGACTTTTAAATACCGTGTGGCACGAAATTTTTGCGGGAGTTTACTTTTGCAAATTGGCGATTTTTTGTGTTTTGCGGGAACTAATTTTTGCGATTAAGACAGATTGGTTTTTCTGGCTGAAAATTTATTTTTTTGCGATTTTTAGAAAGTACCCACTACCCAGCTTTGATAATATTTTCGTTTTTGTTAAGTACGTGCAATAGAAATACATATTTTCAAACACTACAACGGTAAGCGTACCCTATGTAAAACCAGTAATTCATTGTATACCGTGTTGTTTCTGAATGAAAGAGGCAACTTGTATATGAGCCGACGCGATTTCTTAGTGCTCTATGTTTGTGTAGCGAAGTTAGAGTATATTTGCTATGCAGTAAATTTTTGCGGGAAATATGTTTGCGGTAATTTTTATTTGCTGGAACTTTTTTTTGCGGATCGCTGAAAAAGTCGCAAAAATTAGAACCCGCAAGCTTGAAATTTCGTGCCACACGGTAGGAATCAATCACAAAAATAGAACGTTTTCCATAAAATTCATCTGTTAGCCCTTTTAAGCCCTTTTAAAGACCCTTTTATATACTTTAACTAAATGAAACCCCTACCCTTTCATGAAGACCTGAAGACTGAACAGGGTAGCCCGTGTGGGCCATCATAGAGAGTACCCTCCCCCGCCCCCGGGACAACCAGCAGGATCTTCGTCTACGGCTTTTGCAGTTAATTTCTTTAGACATGGTAATACATTTTCACTACATCTAGAATCTTGTCTTTTCTGGGACGGAAGGCTTGAAGAGGGGTTAAACCGTTTACAAATATTTTTAAAAATAGCGCCACTACACCATACAGGTCAGGATGGCCGAGCGGTCTAAGGCGCCAGACTCAAGGTCATTAAACCTTCCCATTAAGAAATGGGGGAGGGCGTTCTGGTCTCCGAATGGAGGCGTGGGTTCGAATCCCACTCCTGACAGTAATTTTTTTAGTAATCCTAGACTATACTTTTTGTGTGTTTTGATAATTTCAAAACCATTAGCCTTCTCTAAGGACAACCGACTGCTAAAATAGCTCTAAGTCAAGAGCCCGTTTGCATGGAGGAGGGGGACCCCAGACAGGTGAGGTCACATGTGGTGGGTCACCCCACCTATCGTGTAAACTTGACCAAATTAAAACAAGAACGCTCTTACAGCGACTTCCACTCTCGCTTGCTTGGAGATTAGATCGAAAAATGACGAGGCGATTAATTGTACACGAAACAGGATTTACCCGGCTAAAGGTTTTTTTTTTACTTCCTACTTTATCGACGTCGATACTTTTTATTTGTTTCTATGATTGATTTAGTACACGTTTTAGCGACGACCGGAAAGACGTCTGCAGTCGCCGGCTATACGAGTGTATAAATACACGAAAATTCTAAGGCCTCGATTCCAGAGAAATTACATGATCGATGATTGCCAGAGATCAAAAAAATTATTTACATGGCCTGTCATTTCAATCATCGCCAAAAATAAACCGCATGTTCATCACAATGTCATTTCCATACAATGAAAGTTTACAACACCCGAACATCGCAGTTTTGCTAATTAAGTTTCTTTTTTTTTCCGACCACTCAGTACTGTTCACTCGTTCCAAAGTAATAAACGCTTTTAAGCGATAGAATTCGTGGACCGACACGTTTCGGAAAAGCTCTAAATTCAATCTTTCCTAAGCTTTCTACGAAAACCAGGCGTGGCTTCGATCACGCAACGATTCTTAGCCATTTTTTCCACGGTCTCCCCAATGAACGCCTGGCACAATTACTCTCCCGTTGTGTCCTAAATACAACGAAAAACGCGTTGCAACCTCGCTTGCGTTACAAGTGAGCGATTAGATGGACAGGCGGGTTACCGACCAAAGCGAGTTACGTCGCCTACCTGGTGCCCCTCACCTCAGTGTAAGACACTCAGACCTCTTTATTGCCCCCGCAGGCCATTTCGCCCAGAGGCGAAATCCCGAGGAGGCACCCTAGTAACTCGCGCGTATATTAAGGACAGTACTTACAGTTCAAATATACAGTCAGTATACTAGAAAAAATCTCGATTTGCTCAAACAGGGGCCGCGAGGAATCGGTAGGTAATGATGACGTTTCTATTGTTTGCGCCCGCAAGTACGAAATGGTTAGGATGACGTAAAGACAGAAAATCCCGAAGGGACCGCTCAGGTAGACATTTATTGCACAGTCATTTGATACTCTTGGCGAGGGGGTGAATAGGGGGTAAATCCGCCGATCCGTGGTAACGATCCGTCGATATATTTTTGTTCAAATCCGAATCCGTGTGCGTGAAGTGACTGAAAACATTTTTCGTGGTATATAGAAAGTAGCGTTGTAGCATGAAAAATGAATTTTAATATAGTTGTTCTGTAATCGCAACAGATGCGGGACTTCATGTTTAAGAAGTTTTCGTTACAGCTTCAAAACATTAAGCATTAGGGACAGAGCTTATAATGTTTCTTCCAACAATACAGATTTAACTAATCAAATAGTCTGCAAGCTTGCAAAATGAAAGTATCTGGTATTGCGTAAAAGATTTTTCAATAAATTTACTTACTGACATCACTTTGGACATGCTTCTAGTCGAGCCGCAAAATTCGGAAGAGGCAGAACTCAACGTCATGGTAATTTGCTTACCAGTAAGTATTTTGCATGGTTCATCTTGGAAGTCTTGAGACCATAATCTTTTTCCCACTTGGCAACAGACGGGTAAAAGGGTTAACCACGGCAAACTGCATTTGTTTTCTGGTGATACTCCGGAGCCTCTGTTCAACTTTATAGCGATGCTTTCTCCTAGCCCCGGCTCTTTTGCAGTTACGTGCAGCCCATGCAGCAAAAGTACTGCAACATTACATCGGTAAAACAACTAATTTGACGATTTTCAAGAAGATATTTGTCTGTAAAATGAAGCTGCCGTTAGCGGGAAAACGTAGAACCATTTGTATCCAGCGAACCGATGCCCTTCAAACCTAATTGGTTAACTGTTTTACTAGTATCTTTAGTTTGTAAAACATAGAAATTTTAGAATGTCAACTTTCCTCAAGTTATAGAGCATCAAAATCCCGACTTTTACCATACATTTAATTTAAATTTTGCCGTGTTTGCCCTCAAAGATGGCGACAGAAACCGTGAAAAGGTCTATTAAGTTAACGATCAAGACAAGCAAACTAGCTGAAATAGCTTCGAAGAACATAATTTTTATCAGTTCATGTATAAAACTACCAAACGTGCTCGCGTAGCTTCACCACACTTCCCAATTGACTGGAATCGACGCAGCATCGAAACTTATTTTTTTGAATAAAGTCATCGCCTTTGGCACCTTCGTGGTAGAAAAAGGATACACACTCGATAGTTCTAGTTTCCATATTGCAATTTAGACAATTTACACGAACGCATTCACATATCTTGTCACTTTGCAAGTACCGCCATTACCTGAACGAGAAAGTCTCTTCCGGAAACCTCGGAAGTGAAACGTTAGCCGACAAAACACCAGCACATTGACCAAGGCCGACCGAAAATTGATGATCCGATCCACAATCCGAACTTCTAGACTGACAGAATCCGGAAACCGGGCCAAAACTTTCAGCCGACCCGCGATCCACGGTATTTTTCAAATCCGCGAATCCGCTCGATTTATCGCCGAAATCCACAATCCGTGAGCTTTTTAAGGCCAAATCCGCCGATCCGCGGACCTATTCACCCCCCTCCTTGGCGTTACGCAGTGACATTCTGTGGAGCAGTTGTTTTGAAAGTTATGGACCAAAAGACACTCGTTAAGCGCAGATGAGGTTATAAGGTGCGTTTCACTGTGTATATATAAACACTTGGAGAGTTTGCCAGACACGAGTTCACAAATCTTTGATATAATATTGGAAAACTTGCCAGACACTCTCTCTCTTTGACCGGAATAAGACTCAGACCCAAACAAGCAAGACGAGTGAACAACGGCTAGCTTATCACTAGCAGATTGATGGACAATTACAGAAATTCGCCGACAATCAAAGTCTGTGCTGACTTATTCCCTGCTCAAAGATGTCCTTCCGTTATAAAGTTTCAAATAAGACTAGAATGCGCGAGCGTGAATCGATCAAACGTCCTTTTAATTTCTAAGGCTTACTTTCCGGCAAATATAATGAACTGAATGTAAAAAGTGAAAGAGAAATAGGGAAAAATTCAGCTTCTAATGAAATCTTTTCTTATGGTTTAGAATAAACTATTCTCGAAACTGAGAATGTTTTAATCAAAGCTGTGTAAAACGAGCTGAAACTGTGCATTCAACCTTGCGTTTCCTGTATTTATCTCACCTATTGTATGGAATATGTGTGAAAATCTTCATTATGAATCGGTATATTTCAAAGAGCTACACAACCAGCAAGAATACTATTGACAGACAATATACAGAACGGGGGCAGCTGTAGTGTCAACTATTACTAGTTCATATTATTCACGAAACCCGCCATCTTTGCTCGCACTTAAGGACTGATGGGACAAAAGCGACGTCACGTGGTCCATCCACTAGATCAGGCTTTGCTATTTGGATGATCCCACCTCGCCCTCTATTTTGTTGTTACAATTTTTCTTTTATTATTATTATTTTAGTATTCTGGTGGTTTACGCCCCTTAGGTTTGTCGCAGTAAGCAATTGTAAATTTTCTGTTTTGTTTTTTTCTTTTCGCCCCAAAGAGTTTTGTTCTAACTTTCAGTGATCCCTAACACACACATAATTTTTCATTTTAACTGTTTTTGTCTTCTTATTCATTATTTA